AAGTATAATAAAAGATTAAATATAAATCTTAGTTAATAAATAGATCCTATTAGTTTAATTAAGATTTAATTATAGACGTGTTTTAGCTAAGGTATCTTTAGCCTAAAGTATAAGATTATTACTTAGTAGCTTTTTAACTATAACTATATTAAAAGCGTTAGTAAGGTTGTTTTCTTTTATTTGTAGCCTTTTTATAATTTGTCTAAAGGAAAAGGATTTAAGTAAGTAAGCATTTTCTAAGGAAACCTTAATTAAGATTTGGTTGTTAGTATAAGAAGATTCTAATTAGGCAGGCATATAAGGGACAGCGCTTATAAGACTAGTACAGATTACTTATACATAACTTATAAGGCCAGAGGTAACTTTCTAGTTGATATCTAATATAAGGGCTTTAATTTTCTTTAGTCTAGTCTTGATTAAAGATGGATCATGTAAGGCTATACAAAGGTACACGCAAACAGCTAAGAGAAAAAGGGTAAGGAGAGAGAGTAATAAATTGTCAGGTGGCAGAGAGAGAAGGAAGGGCAAAGATTTGAGTTTTTTAATTGTGCTGAGAAGGCTAGCCCTTTGTATTCTGTTGTTAGAGAGAGCAGGAAAGAAGTAGAGAGGAGTAGAGAGCTACAGGATTTAGGTAGGTTACTTATTAATAGAGGGCAAGTGATTCGCTTATAAAGAGGGCGTACTTTAGGTAAATAATAAGTTAGGCATTATAAAATAAGTAAATTAAATATAATATAAGAATAAGAATAATAATAATAATAATTTTTATCTAATTTTTTTTTATATTATCTTTTATTATTAAAGGTTCCTAATTTATTAAATTAGTACTCTTTTATATAGTTAAAGCGTCTCGCCTATTCTATACCTCTTTTATAATATAGATTTATTAGATATTACTAATTATTAAAGAATTAAGGCAAGCGCTTTTAGCTTTATTAATAATATTAATATACTTATGTTTAGCTAAAGCACAAAGAATAACTATAGATGCCTAAAGCAGTTATATAATAAGTACTCGCGCTAGGCCTGTTATTATAATGCTATCTTTATACTATAAAAGTATAAACTAATTCATCTTATAAAAAATCTAAGGAAGTTTAATATAGAAGTAATAATTAATATAGCCGGCATCTTGATAATAATAAAAATAGATATTAGAGTACTAGGACTCTAGATTAATACTTAACTAAAATAAGGCCCTTATATTAAAAAGATACTTTAAAAAATAACTTAATAAATACTTATGCTTATAACTTTATTAACTTTTGTATAAGGCGCTTCCCTTTTATATATAAGATATATTTATAATACTATTATTAAACTAGTAATAATTTATATATTAATTATTTAATATCTTTCTAATAATTTATAAGATATAAAATTGAATATTATTAAACTTTTACTTATTTAAAATAAATGCTTATACGTAATAGTTAAGGCTTATAAGGCTACACTTATCTTAGTTCTTAAAGTAAAGACTTACTTCTTACTTCTTTTATTACTACTTAATAATATTTAGATAGACTTTTATTATAGACTTATAATTATAAATATAAGATAACTTATTTATAAAAGCTATTTATAGATTATTAAGAAGCTTAACTTATAATAAGAACTCCTTTACTATATTACTATAATATTAGAAGTTAGAAAATATAATTAGTATAAATAATGTTTTCTTAAGCTTAATATAAAGATAAAGTTAAACTAAGCTTTAAAATGCTTTTTATTATAAGAAAAACCCTTATAAAAAGCGATTATACTACTTATAAAAATATAATAATAATATTAGTTTTATTACTAAATAATTAGAGTGTCTTAGTTAAAGAACTAGTAATTATTATAGAGCATTTATTTAGTAGTACTCTAGCAAGCCTTAAGCCTTATATAAAGTAAGGAAATCAGCAAACAAAGATTAAGGATACATTAAGGCCTAACTAAGGCACAAAGCTCTCTTGCCACATAGCTAAGGACTAACAAAATAGGCTTCGCAGACTTCCTCTTTAAACAGAACGTTCCAGACATCCCCTTACCATCCTACAAATGCGGTTAGAGAAGATAGACTGTCTAACACGTGGTTATAGACTGCCTGCTGCTCTCAGATAGACATAAGATGCTCGCTGCCACTAGCACAACCGATTATCATTGTCTCCTCAATAATTCAAAGGCCTTTAAGATAGTAATGCTTTAGCTAATAAAGGCTAGGGCCCTCCCTTAGTTACGATCCAAAGGCCCTCAAGATAGTAACGCTTTGGCTAATGAAGGCTGGGGCCCTCCCTCAGTTCTCGTTTGCGGCTGAACAACTTTGCGCCTAACTACACTGCAGCTACAGAGCCCTGTGCACACCGTCGAAGCGCCCCGAAGAACTCGTCCACCCACTGGCGGTAAGGTTTTTTCCTTAGAAAGGTTTCCTTGCGTTTGTTCTTGTTTGTCATTAAGAGCTATAACTGCTCTTAATTGTACGTATCCCCCCGCATGGACCAGCCCTAGGCCAGGACCACATCGGTGTAAGAATCAAATAAATAATAAATATATGAGAGCAGTTGAGTAGAAGGTCAGTGAAAGGGGGTGTCACGCAGACTGGGTCGTCAGGCTTACGGCGTTGCGGAAGATGCGGCAAGCCTAACCATAATGTACGAACCTGTCAGAAGGTTAAAGAGACATCTGAGGAAGATAGCGACATAGAGAATAATTGATTTTCTTGTGTTGTGGCTGTGTACGATGGTCAGAAGGTCATGATGTGGAAGAAAAGTGCGCGGGTCGCTTGTATGCGCGGGTCGCTTGTATGCGCGGGTCGCTTGTGAACCACGTTATACCAAATTTACTGAAAACTTCGTTCAACCAATCAGCCAGCAATTCTGGTTACACTCATGATTCACTGATACGATAGACCAATCTCCGAAGAAGAAGGGAGCTAGGATGTTCATGAAGAAACAAGTAGCCGTTGATTGCTCCCAAAATGCACCAAGTAAACTATTTCCACTTTCATGTGGGGAAATGACTATGTTTGCCATCCGTGCACCAACTAAACTACTTCCACTTCCATGTGAGGGAATGACTATGTTTACCATCCAACTGGGCGGCCAAAGCACGTTTTTCCCTAGCCCCGACAGATCTGAAGCATGACGAAGTAGTATGACTACGAGGGAAATCTCGTGCCATAGCCTCCGCAAACGTCGAAAGTCTTCAGGATACAATTTCTTTCTGGTTGACTTTCAACGAGGCCTGGCCCGTCGGGGTCATACACGTCTGTCCTCCGTGGATGGGGTAGCAGAACAAAGCTATGTTACCATCAGCAACAGACCTATGGAGTTGACTTGTGAGCATTAGTCAGCATCCAGTTCCAGAGCGAGCTGTACGATGCTCACCCCCTGATGGCACAAGCTTCGACCTCAGCTATTCGTAAGCGGCCCTGTTCAGGGTAGGAGAAGGAGAAGATGGGCAGGGTGGTCATGTTGCATGGGATCGGGTCGTTAAAGTATGGAGAGGTCGAGCCAGGTCCACCGTTCCACATGCAGCTGAACGCTCCCGGTGCGTTGTCAGCGCTAAGCCCGAAGGACATAGACGCCGGGAGGGTTTCGCTCCCACTGAATGTCTTGAAGTCTTTCAGGCTAAAGGTCGAGGCGAAGCATCCCTCCGCGCGAGGCAACAAGGGCTTAACTTTTTCGTGAGTCGAAGTTGGGAAGGACAACGAGAGACGAATTAGAAGGACGACAGCGAAGGCTTTGATCATATCGAGGCATGGCATTTTGACCGAAATCTGACTTTTAAAATGTTGCTCGCGAAGCAGAACTGTAAATCAATAATGTCCAGCTCCAATGTGGCCTTTCATTGTCAGGATATATAGCCTGTTGGTTTGCTTGTCAGAAGTTGCACACTGTCACCCACAGGTTAGTTCCAGACATTCATTGGTCCACGAAAACCAGCAATTGATGATGAGAAACCCTGATCATTAGTTCGATTATCTCAAGATGTGCCGCGATTGCTTGCATGGGTGACGCTCGCCGGATATCAAAAGGCACGAAGCGACAAATGCCACATAGAACTTCCCCTGCATGAAACGCTCCCGAAGAATCGCAACTTGCCATAAAATCGAATCGGCTCAGACTTGTTAGACTTGTTTGCCTGGTCCGGGCAATGTTTGCAGCTTGTCGCACGGAGCCTCGTGTCCACTTGGCCCGTTTGGTTCTGTGTGCGATCTTGTGCCTAGAGAACCCATTTGGACGGCTAAACTGCTGTGGCTGGGCGTATTGAGATGCAGAAGGTTCAGACTCACGAAAACAACGCGGCATATGCCCACGGATTGCTGTAAATCACAATATCAAATACTTGTGAATTGGTTCTCCGGACCTCCGAATTTGCTTTCCCCACTCTGTCAACGCAGCTGATTATACTCTTGCCCAACACCATGCAATGCTCGCAAACAGAATCCTTTCCTGAGATGCAGGGGAACAGTATCCTCGAAACAAGCCGCGACGTCATGTACAAGCATCGACGATGGGGGGGAATGTATACAGACGGTGCTGGAATTTCACAATAGCTCCAAGAAAAACAGCTCGGAGGGATCAGCACGCACACCCGTCATTGCTAGAGGACGGTGATGGATTAATGGCGACGTCGATCACTGGAGCGGGATCTAATTAGTGGATTTCCTTGATCATGCGGTATTCTTCGCTGATACTCACTGTTTGCCTGTTGCCCCTGCCCTGCACCTTCCCCGTCTCCCTCCATCCCAGGCAGGGCTTGGGCAATCCGCCTGAACAGGGCCTTGACGTTGTGCCCAACCTTCGCACTCGTCTCCACAAATATAGCGCCAGCTTTTTTCGCCTCCTCTTCACCTTGCGCAGTTGTAACCTCTCTTTTCGCATCGCCCAGATCGGTTTTATTGCCCACCAATACCACAATCACGTCGTTGCCCCTTTCTCCTCTCACATCGTCAATCCACTTTTTCGTCTGCTGAAATGTTTTCATCGATGTGACATCATAGACCACAACGGCAACAGAGCTGTCGCGGATGTAAGAAGGTATCAGAGAGCGAAACCTTTCTTGCCCCGCCGTATCCCACAATTGCAGACGCACTGTCCGGTCTTCCAGGTACATGGTCTTTGAGAGAAAATCAATGCCAATCGTGGCTTGATACGTGGTGTCGAAGGAGTCGTACATGAAGCGTGTGATGAGCGAGGTCTTTCCAACTGTATTCGGTCAGTACTGCTATCGAGGGAATGTGCTCTGCACATACCACTTTGTTCGCCGAGAAACACAAGCCTGAGACAGTTAGCACTCCGTGGCGAAGCTATGCGATGAAAGTACATACTTGAACTTCTTCAATGGGTTTGAATACGACCCCACGCCCGCTTGAGCCATAGCGGAAGGGTGTGTAGAGGGTGCACCTGAATGTAGAAGCGAAATGTAATTATTTCTTCCAGTCTCAATTCGAGAGGAGATTATCGGTATGACGCATTCATTGTGGTGCACATAAATACCAATGTTTAGGAGAGTGTGTCAATCGTTATTGTCATCCCAACCTGTCGCCAAATTTGGGGATGCCTGCGAACGGGGAGGAAAGATGCCCAACAAGGAAACGTCCAGCTCCGGCTCCAGGCCTTGAGTCCCGCCGACAAGACGCTATTCCCCTTCCAATCATTGGATCAAGCCAAGAGTGTTCAAAGCACGGATCATCTTCAAGTCGCTGCAGAAAGACCGACCTGCGAAAAAAGCATCGAGCTCATCACCTCCTCCTCCTGTCGAACAGCAGGCAGATACACAGCTTCTTACGAGGCGGCGGCTGGAGTTGCAATATGTCGCTCTACTACCCAGCCGGCGGGGCGACCGCTGCACTTGGTGTAATCGGACTGTGTCAGTTGTGCCTAACTTAGCGATCATGTCCCAGACGTCTCGCTGACATGCAGTGCAGACATGCTATTCAACGGCGAGGGTGAAGCATTCAACGTATGATGAGGGCAATCTACAAGCATCGATCGAGCTGATGTCGTTGTTCAGGTCGGCCGATTTCTCGATTCAGTATCACCATTTGTATGGGCGGATCTCGGTATCGGTCTATGTATAGGGCTCTCGGTGGTTGGAGCTGCATGGTACGACTCGTGCTCTCTTCATCATCCAAGTTGCGTTGCTGAATCAACGTTGCTATTGACAGGGGTATATTCATAACCGGCTCCTCAATCCTCGGCGGTGGTGTCAAAGCACCTCGAATCCGAACTAAGAATCTAATCTCTATCATCTTCTGCGAGGTCGTCGCCATTTACGGCGTCATCATGGCCATCGTCTTCTCCTCCAAAATCCAAAATGTACCCACGACTGAGCTCTACACTCCCAACAACTATTATACTGGTTATGCTCTATTCTGGTCAGGCTTGACCGTGGGAATGTGCAATCTGATATGCGGTGTCAGTGTTGGGATCAACGGATCAAGTGCTGCGCTGGCAGATGCGGCTGACCCTGGTCTGTTCGTCAAGGTATTGGTCATTGAGATCTTCAGCTCTGTACTGGGGTTGTTTGGGCTGATTATCGGACTGCTTGTATCGGGGAAAGCGCTAGAATTTGCGTGAGGCGAAGATTTGCTACACGCCGCTTCAAATCTGAGACCGGCACATCGTTGAGGCAAACAAGCGTCCGAGTAGCGGGCTTAGGGACTGGAAGAAAGCATTTGCGCAGGGCGTTCCAGGGATATCTTGTTTGATTGAAGCTCTCAGGGTCTCGATTCTAAGATCGCTTCCAGTCCTGTACAAATACCTAAATAGACGCTGCTGGATGGTCGCGTTGAACATGTAGGCCTTTCCGTGGGGTCGGACTAGCCAGTGCATTTGTATGTAGTAAGTACGGTGTCTATCCAAATCCAATCACCGGACCCATCATCAACGCCTCACACATCTCACCCTTTTCCAACCAGCCCTCCCTCTGCGGCAACACCAATAACGCATTCGCAGACGCCAGACTCCCCACCCGAGAACTCCTCTGCATACCCGTACTCGCAGCCAACAGCCCTCCGTCTCTCCCACAGCTAACTACCACCCGATGATACTCCACCCTCGCCTTATCACATTTCACCCTTCCCTCCAACCTCACCATAACCCTCTCCAGGCCCCTCTTTCCCCCAAGCCCGACCATCTTCTGCAACGCCGGCAACACAAACAGATTCGCCGTCACAACCGCGCTAGCCGGATTGCCTGGCAACCCAAAGATCAACTTCTCCCTCCTGTCTCCTGAGACTGTGTCTTTGATGGGCACGCTGGCAAACGTGGTAGGTTTACCAGGCTTCATGCTCACTCGGCCAAAGTGGATCGTGCCACCCATGCTGCGCTCGATAGTTGGTTTCAGGAGGTCGAGCTCGCCCATAGAGACGCCTCCCGTCGTGACGATGATGTCAAGATTATGGTTTGCAAGGCCGGAGCGGAGTACTGTTTCGAGGGATCCAGGAGGTGTATCTCTGGCGATGCCGAGGTCGATGACGGCGGAGCAGAGGTTCCAGCCTTGAAGGAGGGAGAGGAGAGATGGTCGGTTCGAGTCGCGGATTTGCCCGCCGGAGAGGGGGATGGGGTCCGAGATATCGGTTACTTCGTCGCCTGTGCTTAGGACGCCGATACGGGGTTTGGTGAAGACGGGAACGGTACGAATCCCTGCTGCAGCTAGGACGCCGATTTCGCCGCCGAGGCTGGTAATGAATGTGCCTTTTGGTAGAATTAGGGAGTTGAGTTGAATATCTGAGCCTGGCTCCCGAACATTCTCCCCAGCTTCAACAGCATCCGTCAGGATTTCGACGGTGGCTTCCTCAAACCCATTGGCGGTGGTGCTGACGACGGCGGTGTCTTCGACCATTACCACAGCGTTGGCGTTTGCTGGTAGTGGTGCTCCTGTCGTGATGCGAGCGATTGTGCCCTCAACCAGTGGAGGAGGCATACTGGAGGCTTGAGCGTGGGACACCGCTGCTACTGGGAAAGTTCCTTTGATGCCAACGTGCTTCTGCGAGGCCTTGTCTGGTACCATGACAGCGTAGCCATCCACAATCGAAGCTCGGTAGGCTGGAACGGCTTCAAGGGCATGAATGTCAGATGCTATGACATGATTGGCTGGAGCTGGCGACAAAGGTAGACTTGTAGTGACTGCCGCTGGAGCACGCTCCAGGATTACAGACACAGCTTCCGAGACTGACAACATAGGGTAGGGTGAGGACCGATGCCGCTGGCTGGCCCCGAGAGTCGGATCATTAGACCTTGGAGGTCTGTCCTCAGGCTTAGTGTGAGCTTGTGGGATCTTATGGCCATGGCCGTGGTGATGATCATGATGGTGATGTGGAAGAGCTATGGAAACGTTCTCGCTCCTAGTAGATACCCCAGCGTCCTCTTCCAGCTTCTTGACACCTCCAGTATGCATGGTCCGTGAGTCTGCACCTGCTGCTTGTAGGCAAGCATGTGGCAACATCTTCAGAACAGCTTGCAGATTCTCTTTTGCCCCTTTAGGCGATCCTGGCAGTGTCAATATCAAGGCTTTACCTCTTACACCAGCCACTGGTCTCGACATTGCGCCAACTAACCATGTATCAGAGGGCACATCGGCATCGACCGGGTGGAATGCTTACATGGTGTAATCTCCAGAGATGCTGCCAGCATGGCGTGTCTGACGAACCTTTCTCAGCATGATACGGTTGAAGTATGATGATTGACTCACATCAAGCCAGGAGCCGGACGGTGAATAAGCGGTGCAATAGCCTACGTAGCAGATCAGCTGTGCCATAGGCTGTAACGCCCCGTGCTTTTCATGTCTGGTTTGAAGGGTGGCTCACCTCTGGGGTGATGTCTTTGACAGCAAAACCCGTCCCTCCAGTTGTTATTATCATGTTGGCATTGTTGTGCTCATCGTCGGTCCATTTGCGGACTGCATTTTGTATCCTCGTGGCGTCATCTGGGACAATCTCAATCCAGGGCTCTGTCCATTTGTCACTTCCTTCTGCCTTTAGTGTTTCGCGAAGGATATTCCCAGCTTTATCAGTGGCTGGGTCCTTGAATGCCGTTTCCGAGATGATGAGTATGGCTGGTCTGAGTGGACTGGCATTTGACTGCATCTTGTTCATCAATGTATTCGTCTTTTGAATTGAGACTGGTATTCTGATTATCTGGTATGGTGGTATTTACCAAAGTTGATATCTTGCCTGACACCTAGCTCCGTCTACACAACCACCGGAACATTTCAGCATCGGTCAGTTCAACACACCTACAGAGCAGTTCGCAAGAAGAAACCCGTACTACAAAGTTATACCTGAGCGTCTAATGATGCTATCTTGGGCATTATCTGCAAATCCCTTCGCTATGCCCTTAACAGGTGAACTCACAGCTGAAGTGTTGATTCTCGGTTCCTCATGCGATCTTACCTGCCTTAAAGACTCGTTTCTTTTGCGCCGTCAATGCTGCCAACGTACCCTCCCGGCCTTGCTGCCGACCGATTTCAATCACCAAAAACCTGACAAAGTCTTGACGTATCCAATAGCTACTGTGAGCGCTCAGCATGTTCCAGTACTGAAAATCTAGAGGGCCTCCATCAATGCTTAGGGTAAAATCGATCTGTCCATTATCATTCAACAAGAACATTCTCTTCTCCGCGAGTTCCTCTCGAGTAAAGTCGTGAGTATCCATCTCAATCGTCGAAGGCATCTTGTTCATCGACGGACGCTGAGTTGAGGCCGATGCAGGGCCATAAGGCCTAGAGGAGCTAGGACCTCCCCATTTCAATCCAATGCTTGCAAGAATTCCTTGCCGGATGCTGGGAATGACAGCAGGTTTCAAGGTTGCAGCGAATTCGCTGTCTACAGCTGCATTCATGTGATACGTGATCGGATCGTAAGGAGCCATCACATTGTAAAGATTGTCGACAGCTAAGCATCCATACGTGCCAGCTTCTCCGGTAACTCCACGCTCATCCGCACCATCAATGCCAGGCTTCTGTCGTCCGCTCCTGGGGATGAGAGCAGCCTTGTTTAAGAGCAGAAAGAAAGCAGCCGGACTTCCACAACAGAACAGAGACCTCGTATCAAATTCGAACATGCTTTCGTCGATTTGATTCGAAGAGACTTCAGTCTGCCTAGGAGGCTTGGTCGGTTGGTTGCTAAGGATATCCATGGCCATGGCGGAGCCCAAAGAGTGAGCTACAATATGTACTTTGCCGCTTTCGTGGAAGCCAGGATTATTGCGACACCATAGTCTATAGACTCTGTTGGCCTCTCTGATGACTGCTGAGGTCATCCTTTGCTTGTGATGTGAAAGATAATATGGGATATCTAGCATAACGTCGCTGATAAGCGACCGAATGGCGGGGAGGGTGTCTGGAGTAATATCCTCAAGTTGGAATTTATTCTCCCCGTTGCCATTCTTGGTTTCCACTTCATCATCAAAGGACACTGTCAGGCGCCAGTTAATAGGCAGAACCATGATTCCCCCCTGCTCTTTGCGAATATTGCCCTGAACAATCTCGCTTGACAACTCCACATTAACTTCGCGCCGGAAGGAGTTGATGGCATGAGTAAAGTGGAAACTGTCCATCCTCTCAGACAATTTTTGACCGATCCCGTGAATAACTAGGACTAGATCCGTGACTTGTGGTACGTGCTGTTGCTCCTCAACTCTGCAAATGGGGCATGAGTTGTGCTGATATTGCATGTCTGCATTGCCAGACTGGGACATATAAGCGCCTACCTTAGCATGGGCTGCCCTCATGTCCATCTTGTTTGGCGGGTGGATCTTCTCCCAAGCTCGTCGATTGAAGCCGCGGACAACGGCGACTCCAATATCTCTACCTTTTCGGACAGCTGCAAGGGGTCTTCGATTGCGGGTAATAGACGGAGCTAGACTCGGACGGAGTATTTGTGCTTGATTGGAATTGACGTACATCACGCGATGGTTCTTGTATCGTTGTGAGGAGTCTGGTGACCAGGTTCGAAATTTCTCATCTTGCGGACCCGCGGCCAAGTACTCGTGCTGAAGTGTTTGTCCTTCAGCCAGCAATGTACGTTTTGCAGAAGCATCCATTTCGTCTGGCTTAGTCTCTGCACCACTTCCTGGTCTGCTAGAAGTCCTCTCAGGAAAGAGGCGGTGGACAATCTTCATTTCAGCCGCAGCACCTATTTCAACACAGCTGTTGAGCTCATCTTGCCATGTCTCCGTCCAAGGTTTGAGCTCCTGATAGCCCATCTCCAGCCGGTTCGCAACGTCTGGCTCCACAGGTAGCATAGTCGTAGCATAAAACCATGTTCCGCGAAGCACAGTTGATATGTCATTGACAGGACTCCAGTAAATAGGCTTCATAAGAAGATCCGGCATTTCGACAAGGTGGAGACGGGAGATACCCACAGGAACAAAGACTTTCTCTTCCGCATGCTCTTGATCCTGCCGGTTCTCGTCTCCATCCTTGTGGGCGTGAAAGACACTGTGGAGTTCTGAGGGTACAGGCGGGCTTCCAATTCCTCCTGTAATATCTTTGCCGGGTGTGTCAGAATTTCCTGGTGTTACTGGGAATCTGTGATCATCTTGGCCATCGAGCGAATCGAGTGTTGAAGCTCTGACAAATGGACGTCCACTGATGTCTGTATCTGCCGCTCCATCGAGTTGAGGAACAGGCGACCGTAATGACGAGGAACTCAAATCTTCCTCTAGAGTCTTGCGTTTCCTAAATGGTGAGAGTCGACGGCGCAATCTCTGGCTGCGGCGCTCCACGGGGTCGACTGGAGAGCGCTCTCCTTGTTCTGTTGAAGGTAGCTTCGGTGACTCCCGGCGGGAGGATAAAATTGTATTTGTGCTAGGCGGGAGCTCAAGCGATTGGACCGAGGCACGATCTGCAAGGTCTTTGGCTGCGGTGACAAGCTGTCCATCCTTGGATTGAGCTCCTAGAACAGGAGTCTTGCCATCACCCTTGAAGCGGGGAAATCTGACAAGTTCTCCCAAAGTTCTCCCTCGTTCCCCAAGTTCAGGTCGTGAACGGCTTTCGATAATCTTGCCCGACGTAGAGGCAAGGACTTGTTCGATGCCTTGCCATGCATCTATCAGAGCGGCATTATCGCGTGCAGAGAAAGGCTTAGGTTGATGAGCTTGCGACGATTTCGTGTCAGAAGAGACAGGCGGTAATGGAGACAGAGGGTCATCTATAGGTACTGAAGAGACATAGAAGAATTGTGTCTTGATGGGAGGAGGATCCGAGCTATTGCTTGGACCGTTAGTGGCTTCGTCATCGTGGAGGATGCATGTTGGGCCCAAGGTATGGGCAGCTGCGGACATTGCAGTCAGAGACACTGGGAGCGTGATGTAACGAAGGTAGGATCAAATATGACGAGGATGGAAGCCTCAGACGACGCTTGGGACAGTATCCTTCCATGATAAGGATTTGAAATGAGTTGCGTCTGCGATGGTGTACGAGTATAATGTTCTGGAAGGTGCGGAGGCATGTCATGCATGTGCTATGTAGCCCAAGAATCTTCCACACCTTTTCAGGGAGTATGACGTCCAGAGCGCGATTGATTTTAAATATAACAGCACCTAACTTAAGGCTGCACCGGCCTGGGCCAGTCCCTTAAAAGCAAAAGCTGCTTCCACTATTGAAGAGGTGATGCACTAGAATCGCGGCCTTCACTCCTACTACTACGGTAGGAGGCATCATAATTGTAAGCGCGCAATAGTAAAATTGTTATTAACGACCCTCACACAGATACCCCTGTCCCCCCCGTACGAATGACGTATCCCCTTAGAAAGGGTTATTCCACGCGTTCAACGCGCTCAGTGAGCTGCGAGAGGCTATAACAGCTGCCTGGAACGCTGTGCCTGCGGCCTACCTCCTAAATATCTCCTAAAGCTGCTCGAATCATTGCTAGCAAGTGGTCGATGCCAGTGGAATGCACACTCGGTACTAAGTATGATAGGCTAGTCCCAATCGAGCGATTTTGTGGCGTTCTATCTTGGCGTTAAAAGCTGTTACTACTATAGGATGCTCTTACATTTATTATGCCTCCTACTGTAGTAGTTTACGTGTGCTTCATTTGGTTAACGTCAATCCAGGCATACGTCTGTCCGCCGCAGTACTACGTAGACTTCTGCCTTCTTCATTCCAATGCCGCGCAAACCACACAAAAAGTCCAGAAGAGGCTGTAAAGACTGCAAGAGACGCCACATCAAGGTACGAATGGGACGTGTGCTCTTACTGCAAATCTTTGGCCCTACTAAGGTCGCTGCGCCAGTGTGATGAGAACCGGCCGGTGTGTGTCAACTGTGTAACAGCTGGTTTGCAATGCGCCTTCTTGAGAGAACAGCAAACCCTCCTAAGCAATGATGAAGCTACAATCGTCGGCAGTCCCGGAACGAGCGGATCAGGAAGTTCTACGCGCAACAGCGGCCCATGTGTCGATGAAGGATGGAGACCACAGCCTCCTGATGTACCCCCTCCTTCCCCTCCTCCCTTCCCTCCAGCACAACAGCTTCATTCACCTTTGAAAACCACCGATCCGGACCTCAATCTGGATCACCTCGAACTGCTGCACCATTTCTCCACCGTAACCTATCAGACGTTGACTCCTGACCCAGCTCAGCAGCAAATTTGGCAGTTGACGGCCATCCAGTTATCGCTTTCCTTTCCGTTCTTGATGCATGAGATTCTGGCGATTGCCGCATTGCACTTGGCGCAATGTAAACCGGAAAGGCGAAGCCACTATTACACCAAGGCCACAGAACTTCAGAGTCATGCTCTGAACGAGTTCAAGCAAGTCCGAGAGCACGTGGAGGCCTCCAACTGTGGTGCAATCTTGATCTTTGCATGTCTGCTTGCACTTCACGTGCTTGCAGATCCACCACGTCGTCAAGGTCTCAATTTCAGCGATTATCTTGACCACTTCTTAGGCTGTATCAACCTGATGCGTGGTGTGCGTCACATGGTGATCTCAGACTGGTGGTCCTACCTCCACGAATCTGAACTCAAGCCTCTACTCGTTGTAGAGCAACCCGAGAAGCCATACAACATACCGGATGAGTGTCGTGACCTCACTGAGCTCACCACAAACTCTGACCTAGGACCTACGTCAATCAAAGCATATGATGTAGCGATTGAGCGCTTGCACTGGAACTTTGCAGCCTCAGCTCTAGGTGAAGGAACGTCATCGACGATTAGATTTGTGATGGCATGGCCTGTGCAACTAAAGGACGATTACTTTGAGCTACTCAATGAGCGTCGGCCGGAAGCCTTGATCATTCTGGCATACTATGGTGTTCTGCTGCACTTCTATCGATCATCTTGGGCTATAGGTGATTCGGGTGCCTTTCTAATCAGAGCAGTTGGTGCGCATACTGGACCTCACTGGGGACGATGGATGGCCTGGCCGGATCGAGTACTTAGAGGATCTAGCATGCAGCTTGAGTAATCCTACTGGAAGTGGGTGATTAGATTCTCATACCATTGTCTAAGCTATCGAATTACCACTGGTGGAGCGTCAGGTAAGCCGAAGAAAGATGCGGCCTAGAGTGATTCAAAGCATGAAAAGGTGGACAGCAAGAGCCAATTGCAAGCTTGCCATAGTGCATGGTGCTCAGAAAGATGCACATCAGGCTATTGACATGTGAAAGTCTCTCCAGCAACTGTACCAGGTCACTGCCCGCCATGAACATGCACCGAGCAAGACAGTGCTCAAGAGGTATCAGCTTCCGACACGACATCTCACACCTAAACCTTCAAGGACAGCGAGTGTACGATACTGCAACCACGCAAGCATCCATTGCCAGGACGTTCCAACCTAAAACTTGAGACTCACTCCAGCAAATAGAAAACACCCAATTGCGGTTAAAGGTCTGTTCCGCGTATTCGCTATAACTTTCCTCGGACTATGTCAAGCACCGGCTCAGTCTCTACGAGTATTCGGCTTCACTTTCCACACTAAATAACTTCTCAGCCATGTCCCGATATTCTGCCGCCGATACGCGTATTGAGATATTGAAATTCAGACTTCAAATTTAGCACTGCCCTGGTAGCGTTCAATGTTGCGCACTGTTGACAAGGTAGGCTCTGCAGGATGTATCTCTCGACGAGGCTGTATAAGAGTACCGCCCATCCTCATGTACATATTTTCGAATCGTGCTCGACTTTCCATCAAAAGCAACTGGTATCATCTTTTATTCCATTGCAGAAATTCCAAACCTGCAAGTATCCTTTCTTGATTGTGTCTGTGTTCACAATTTCCCATTTCTTCGCCATCAACATTAGATATGTCGTCCGCTGGTGAAAGCAGTGACACAGAATCCTCTAGCTACCTCTATCAATACGTTCCATCCCTTGCCGCAGCAGCTGTCGCCATCGCCATCTTCGCCATTCTTACCATAGCCCATTTTTATCGTCTAATCAAGCAGAGAGCATGGTTCTGTATCGCTTTTGCTGTGGGCGGCCTATGTAAGTGTTCTCTGCTTGGAAACTGCCCTTCGAAGCTACCAGCTAATCACTTTATAATTGATCTACAGTCGAGACAGTCGGCTATGTAGGTCGCGCGATAGGGCATTCGAACAAAGATGATAGAGACCCGTTCATCGTCCAGTCGATCCTAATTCTCGTCGCACCGGCGCTTTTCGCAGCCACGATCTACATGACCCTCGGACGTTTGATACGAGCCACTAATGGTGCAAAGTATTCCATCATCCGAGTGACCTGGATGACCAAGATCTTTGTTGTTGGTGACGTTCTATCATTCTTCATCCAAGGTGGAGGCGGCGGTATTATGGCTAGTGGAGATCCTGAAAAGCTTAAGCTGGGTGAGAAGATTATACTGGGCGCCTTATTTCTCCAGATCATCATGTTCGGCCTCTTTGTTCTGGCCTCGATCATTTTCCATTACCGCATGCGCAAACAACGCACTCCACAATCCTATGACCCCGACTTGAAGTGGGAGACGACGCTCTACGTTCTCTACGCCGTCAGTGCCATCATCATGATTCGAAACATCTTTCGTGCGGCGGAATATGCCGGAGGTCATAACGGTGCCTTGCTTCGGGTGGAATGGCCGATCTATGTGTTTGACGCATTGTTGATGGCGCTTACTATGGTTATTTTCTACTGGAGATATCCGCCGGCCAAGCAGCTTAAAGTTTGCAAATCCGAATTCAGCATTGAGGTGCCACGAGCGCAGATGGTTGATGCGTCTGGAAGGTTCAAGGAGGAAATATCGCCAGAGGCAGGGCATTAAAGGGGCAGGTTTGCATTGAGCAAGCCGAATTGAGGCCAGTGATAGAAGAAAGAGGCCAGTTGGTGTTCAATATTAGTGGTCAGGAGGCATTTAAGGGATTGGTGATGGTTTTCCTTTCTTTTCTCAAGGGTAGAGAAGTCATGCATCGAGCTGGGGCGAACTGGGTGGTGATAGATATAGAACGTCACTTGGCAACGAGCCGAAGAAGAACGAAGCCTCACTCAACACGACGTGTAATATGTTTTTAAGCTTTTAATCCGCAATCCATGTTTTGCGTGGCTTTTCATTCTTGCAATACCTCACCTGCTCGTCAAGCATGAAATGATGTGGAGGTGGCTAGAGCGGCTTTCTTGTGGTATCTGAGCACAACCAGAAGCTCACTCTAACTCTCACTTCCACCTAAGAATACCAAATAAAAACCGAAGTCATTCGAGCTGATGAAGCATAAGCACAAGCTTCCGCATATGTACACCATTCACTTCCTCCATCTCTTTGCCAGCCAGCCATCGAACAGTCATCACTTCACCTCAATAGATGCAAACACTTCATCAATCGTTCAAGCATTAACCTCTTCCTCGCTTCTCTCCCCACAAGCTCCCACATCCCCTTTCCAACCACACAATCCTGTACCTATCCTACACGCCCCCACCACTCCGTCCCACCCTAACAGCGAAATTCCTCGCATCAACCCCCAATTTTTCTTCCTCACCCCCAACCCCACCTCCACCATTGCTGTCTCCTCCTCGTCCCCGCTGAAGCCAAGCCCTCCTCCCCTCTTCCTCCGCCCGCAATATATCGCTCTTATTGTCGTTGTGCTGGGATCGGAGGTAGACGTATGCGCCTATTGGGGTGAGGGTTAGGGTCGCGAGGAAGAGTCGACGGTTACGGCTGAGAGACTGTCAGGCCGGAGGGGGTTTCTTAAGGTGGGGGGAAAGAGAGGGCTGGTGGAGGTTTTACTTGAAGAAAGGTGGTGGTGGATAATTGGGTATTGAACTTGGTTGTGGAGGGGCCATTGTGGCAGACTATTGACCGCCGTACTGGGTAGGTACTATGTAGGAAGGGAAGAGGCGTCGATTGTGGGTCTTGGAAACCGAGGTCCCCCCTGGATTGGTTTGGACCTTTCCCACGTTTTATTGTTGGGGATAGGTCCCAGCTTGCGTCAAGGGAGGCCGTGGTGAATTGATAGGGAGGATATATGATGGAAAGCTACGAGCAATAGCTGGAAATAAGGGGAAATCGGTAGCCTAAGATTGTCTTGAGACAAGCGGAAAAGCGGTTTTGCTGATGATAATGGGGATGGTGGTGATGATGGTAGTTGAGAGAGCGCACGCGACCCCCGCATCATTCTGGGGACAAGGATCATTTTAACTAAGTTAAGGTTTTGTGGGGTAGAAAATCACCAAATCTGGGAGACGAAGGATGAATCCAATTCTCGCTTGGGAGCATGATGGTGTGCTCCTTTGGCGAAACGACGACTGCCTGCAGTTCAACCATAACCTGTCGGCGTAGAGCGGTGCTACTGTTTATGGCTGAGAGACGACGTTCTGGGGGTGGCTGCTGACCTTGAAGATTTCCTCTGCCAACTTTTGAGTGTGAGCAGCAGGGGAAATGAGCTTCATTTCTGGATTCCACGCAGCATTTGGTGAAATTGTCAGATAGCTAACACCTAGTTCCCGGGCTCTGCCGTTTTGCTCCGTTGCGGTTCCAGGTTGCTGAAGGCGGATTGATGTCTATCGTGATGTCTATCGTGATGTCTATCGAGAATTGGATGCTAATTGCCCAAATTCAGATACTGAAGCAGTGACGGTAGGAATGGTGTTACACATCCACCCACTTTGATGTTGATGGGTACCCTCAACCAGGGTTCCACAGCCCGGGAAAAGGCATTATTTCTTCTACTTGATCAAGAATCGAAAGTCTGCCCTACCAACTTCTCACTTAGCTGCCACAATCTTTCTGCAGCTCGAGGATCTTTGGCCCAATCTGCCTGTTTTCCGATTTGACAATCATCAAGGTAAAGCCCGCTACCCTCGTCGATATTTCCGGCTAGGAGACCAGGATCCAGTGCTGCCACCAGCGTCGTACTGGAGCCTTGCTCCAAGTTCCTACGTTTTGTCAGTCTGAATCTCCTGCGGCTCTCTGCCAATTTCTCCTGGTCGCTATTCCTTTGCAACTCCGTTGGTATAGATCCTGGGTGCAAAGCAAACGATGTGATATTGTACCTGCTTGCCAGCCTAGAAGTCAAGGACAAAGAGAAAAGCACGTTTGCAGTTTTGGATTCACCGTAGCCAGCGAATGGGATATAGGGCGAAGAGTCGTCTGGCATACCGTTGATAGCGCGAAAGCGGTCGAAGTCTGGCCATTCATCTTCTGGGATTGCCTCAACAGGCTTAGAGAAGGTGTGATCAGAGAAACGGATAGGGCTGAATACATGAGCGGATGAAGACACATTGATGATCCGGACATTAGCTGAATGTTGATTACGGGGTGTTTGGGCAGCCGCCGATATCAGCTTTGGCATGATGAGATTGGTGAGAAGGAAGTGGCCGATGTGACTGGTGGCAAATTGCAGCTCGATCCCTTCAGATGAAAGTGTCCGTTCTTGCACGTCCATCACCCCGGCATTGTTGATGAGCAGATCGATGCCATCTACATCGTCGTAATTGAGAAGTTCTGCCGCCGCTTTCCGAACAGAAGACTGTGAGGAGAGATCGATTTGCAGAAAGCGACAGTTGATCCGAGGGTGGTCATGTCGGATCTCGTGGATGACCGCGTCTACCTTATCACGAAACCTTCCAGTCAAGATGAGGAGACGGGGAGCGTGCGCTGCCAGCGCTTTTGCTGTCGTACCGCCGAGTCCACCCAAACTAACGCCCGTTATGAGGATTGTTCGGCCTCTTATCCCTTCTGCAAAGGTATCCGCAACCTCCGAGGCAGTGGTTTCGAAGCCCCACTCTGAATGCGATGTCATTGCTGGACGAAGGGATAGAAGTGGGAGACTGGAATTTTGCTGAAAAGGCAGATAGTGTATGAAATCTTTTCCTGTACTTCTTCTTACCCAAAGCAACCTATATGGATGGCTTATACAGACCTACCGCTGTGTTAGCTTACACATTTCGTGCTGAGCAATACGTAGTACGTAGTACGAGGTCCCCACGGAGATACATCAGAATTACCAAAACATCAGACTACTACGTAGTACTTGGGTTTGCCATGTCGTAGAACAGCGTCGAGAACGGCTGACAGAGTTACAGTCAGGTTTACTTACCCTTCTGCACGAATTCCTGTTTGCAACGCTCTGACAAAGCCACCATGTGCATAGTTCTGCTCCCAGAGACAGTGGGCCAACAAGGCGGAGCATCAGGAGAGGATCAAGCGACCTTGCGTCATTATCATTTTGCCCCGTTTGCTTCAACCATTGTTCCATGCCTATTTGTAAATACAAAACGATCAACACCACATCGGAGCCACTGAGCATGTGCAGTCTATCTCGCATACAGCGCCCTTCTCCAGTGTTGCAGCGGCTGTCATGTTCAGTGTCATCCCAGCCAACAGACCCTGTCTGACCAACTACATCACCATCTCCCCCACCCAATTCGCATTCTCCTTCCCATCAAGGCCCCACTTCTCCCATCTCGTAGTCTTCATCCTCCCCGGCAACACCCTGCCACCCAACACCGCCGCTGGCATCCACATCCAGCTTCCCGGCTCGCCCGAGTTCAGATTCCTAGGCGCAATCGGCAATGAGAAACCTTCCGCCATCTTCAAGATCAACCTACCAGGCCCCAAGCCTCCTCCTGGAGATTTCGACGCCATGGCAAACTCAGATATATCAGGACTGCCGGCGGCGATGGCAGCAACAGCGTCAACCGCCGCGGAGCCAGATATAGGAGATATCAACATCGGCATCTCCGTTGAGCCAGCCGCCAACATCCAAGCACAGCTGGCTGCTCTCCAATCTCAGACACAGAGCCAGTCTCTATCCTCTACCTCGGCTGACTTGGCGTTGGTGATCCATCGTCCGCCGCCCCAGACGAAGGAGCTGGCGCAGCGCATCATCAAGAATGCGTTCAACTTCCTGGCTAGCTTTGCGGGAGAAGCTGGGCCGGGTGGGCAGGAGGTGGTGCCGCTGAGGAGCTTTCAGGAGTGGTGGACTAAGTTCGAGAGGAAAGTGCAGAATGACCCGGGCTTTCTGGAAAGGGACGAGGGAGACTGATGGATGGGTTCCGTAGGGTAAGGGCAGCGTAACTCGAAGGATGACTGGCTGTGGAGATGTACAGATCCGATGACAACAATGCCCATTTTACGGGCTTATATCAAAGCTTACCGGGATTCCCTGACCACTACAGACGAAAGTATGAAGTCCAGTGCACTAGAAATATGTACTATCGAAGCACAATACCCAACTGGCCATGCTAATGCTAAATGAGGATGTGTGATCTAGGAGCCAGAAAGTTACTTCAGCGCTTCATAGTATTACAGCTCACGTCTGACCTCGAACGAGAAGAGCCAGTCCACTTGGACTTGATCGTTCAATCATCGAGCAAAAACTCGAGGAACGCCCTTGCAACCACGACGCCATCATGCGGCTTTCCCGCCTTGTCCATGTACTTATCAAATTCGTCGTCGTTGAATATACCCATGGTGTGTCGCACCCTCAGGAGCTCTGTCATGATCTCTTCGTTGAACTCCGGATGACCTTGCACGGTGATGAGATGGCCCTTCTTGTACATGCCTTGTACAGCACATACTGGACTTGAGCCGAGCTGTTCTACACCATCCGGGTAGTAGTATATGATGTCACGATGCATCTGATGTATACTCTGCGAAGCAAGTCAGAGCGGGATCTCACGGGGTTCTGAACACTAAGTGGCCGCATTACCAGTTTCTCCTTCCCAAAAAGTTGTTTTCCCCTCTCCGATAGATCAAAGTCGTCCACAGCAGCTTCCCAGCCGGCCTCGTTTCGTCCCACTTTGACGCCCATCGCCCTTCCAATGATCTGGTGTCCGAAACAGACACCAATCAATCGTATTCGGTCCTGCTTTAGTATCTCTGCTGTGAAATCTACCAGTTTCTTGATCCATGGTGCGTCCTCGAAGGAGTTATATCCTGCTGCCATAAGCGCCCGGGATAAAACTAATTAGCAAACAAGGATGCATACGCGATCCTGTGAGAAGAATAGCATCAACGTCCTCTAGCTTTGGGTAGTTATCTGGATCCAGCTGGATCTGGTATTTGGATATCTGGAGCATAGCCTCTAGGTCTGGCTTTCCCAATAGTTCGGCACCGTACCTGAGGAGTGTGGTAAACACCCCACCGTAGCCACCATATTTGGCATCTGCATTAGGCGGTGGACTATCACATTCCAAGATGGCAAGTCGAAGAGGCGGCCTCATGGTTGTATGAGAGATGGTTGATGGACCTGGTCGCCTATGAAGCGACTACGTAGGTCATGAAATCTTCTTGTAGAAGGTGCTGTAAGATCTTTCTGAACGTTGGGGAAACGTTGAGGAAACGTAGTGTGTAGGAGGTAGTGAACTACTAATCGTGTACTATTATTAATGTGGAAGATATCCCGAAGAATTGCCGCTCAGTGATCACGCACGCGGAATGTGTCAGCAACGCAAGTCAACAACCCAATTGACGCGTCAAATGCCACGTAAGGGAAAGCCTGTGCCAGATGGAGAACCCTCACAGAATATGACAAGCATCATATTGGTGTGATCGAGAGAGGGATGGCCCGTGATGGCGACGAGATTGCAGACTCAGATGGCGAGAGCGATGTTAATGATGCACCCTCTCCGCCCCAGTCACAACTCTTGCCAAAGACGCATCAGGGTCAGGGTCAGACTGTGCCAGATATCGATCTGGGAGTCAACTTCAGTGATTTCCTAAGCCAATCGCAGACTCACCACATGAACGCTACGCAGCAGTCTGTGCGACAAGAAGATCACCCCGAAGGAATTGAAAAGAGTACTGGTACTACAGCCAGTCTCAGAAGACAGATCGAAAGTGAGCAGCGCAAGCTTGCAGAGCAGAAGAGCAGCTCAAGCACCCGACTCTCAGACATCAAGAAGCGCTCAAAGTCCTCTTCGGACTCCCCTACTGTAGCCAAGACCAAACGCCGGCATAGTGAGCTTGGGAGTACCAGCCTGATGGAAGGACAAGAATCCAGGCAGAAGCGGCAGCATACTTACGGTAGCAGCAGCAGTCGTCTGCGGTCGAGCCAAAGTGATGTTTTCGCAGAAGAGCATCGACATCAACTTGAGGAAAGTCTGGCCGAGGTTGCTTCGAGTAGGGATCCGGGGCATTCATCATATCAGCCAGAAGACGATGGTCGTACATGCGATCAGCAAACAGGACTCACTGCAGGAGTTGGTCAACATCATATCGGGAGCCACGACGCCGCGGTCAATGAAGAATCTGCTTTGCAATGCCAGGATGGTATTCAAGCAGACCACGTTAGAGGTACCAGCGATAACGCTGATGCTTTCGAGGAGTACATGCAGATGTCATCAGGACGGATCTCGAAATCACGAAGTTTGATGGGCAACTACGAGTCAATCAGCCTGGATTATAGCGATAGTGGCCTTGGCCTAAACGTCAATGCGAACCCATTTGGAGACGCGTCACAGCAGTCAGTAGAAGACATCACTGATCGAACACAACCGGTGAGGCGTGAAGCGATCTTTACCCCTTCCAAGGCGAGCACTCTAGATACCATTCCCTTGTCAGGCAATCGGGACAGCCTTGCAAACCACGTGCTCCATCCTGACATTTCAGGCATTGACGGTGCTTCTAGTCTGCGCGAAAACAGCTATAGTCGAATTGAGTCAGGTCGCTCAAGATCATTTATCGATCCATCAGTTCTCACAAAATATCCTGCAGACAATTCGCAGGAACTTGCTGACTCCAACTCATCTTCCTCACGAAAACGCAGGAAAACTGCTGATGGATTTGCACTCAACGTCGCCTCTACAGCTCACGACACAGATATTCCGCCAATATTGTTAGCTGCGACTAAGGAGACCCCACCGCCCAAAACTGAGACGCAAGGGAAGAAGCGAGGGCGGAAGCCCAAAAATCAGAATGTCGAGTCCAGCAACGGACATCATTCTGAGCATTCTGAGGAACACAATGAGGAGAGTGTGGAATGTGCTGCAAAACATACGTCAAGCGAACTGCATTTCGACGACGATTCAATTATTGGCCTACCAAAAGAGCAGTATAAGCCGCGACCTAGTCGCTCTCGATCGAAACGTAACGCGGAAGAAGAGATGCCTCCACCTGCTCAAAGCCCAACTAAATCTGTCCATACCCCTACCAAACAGCCTCAAACGTCTCATTCAAAGGACACAGCGCAACCTAACGACCCAGAAGACACTCCATTGACAAAACTGAAGAAAGAGAAGAAGAAAAACAAGATGAAGAGGGCCAAGACGTCAGCAGCGGCATTGTTGAAGAAATCGGATAGAATGCTCAGTGATGGTGAAGAGGATGTAGTGTGGGTGGACAGCAAGCCTGCCACGGTGAAGATGAAGCTTCCTGATCCGGTGGAGGTGAAGGAGTATTTGAAGACTGAAAAAGTGCCTCCTGAAGACAATGAGGTGGGGCCAGCCGGGGCAGCTGAGATATCAATCAACCTTCCCCAGACGGAAGAAGAACCTCACAAGCCACCGCCGAAAAAACGGGGCAGGAAGAAGAAAACAGCTACTGAGATGCCAGTCGCCAACGAGATCGAAAATGGCTCTAATGGTACCACCAATGCATCAGCAGAAGCGGAAGCGGAAGAGCCCACACCGGTTGGAGAAGAAGCCACTTCTAATCAGCCCAGGGTGAAAGCCTCTGCGCTCCCAGAAGCGCTGAAAGAAAAAGACGTTAACACACCCCGTACTGCTACGTCCCAACCCATCAACGAAGATACCTCAACTCCTCAGGAAATAAAGGCCTCAGAAGACACGCACACCACTTCCGCAGGCCGGCAAGAGTCACCCGAAAACCAGCAGCAACCAGCATCAGCACCAGCACCAGCACCAGCACCAGCACCAGCACCAGCACCAGCACCAGCACCAGCACCAGCACCAGCACCAGCACCAGCACCAGCACCAGCACCAGCACCAGCACCAGCACCAGCACCAGCACCAGCACCAGCACCAGCACCAGCACCAGCACCAGCACCAGCACCAGCACCAGCACCAGCACCAGCACCAGCACCAGCACCAGCACCAGCACCAGCACCAGCACCAGCACCAGCACCAGCACCAGCACCAGCACCAGCACCAGCACCAGCACCAGCACCAGCACCAGCACCAGCACCAGCACCAGCACCAGCACCAGCACCAGCACCAGCACCAGCACCAGCACCAGCACCAGCACCAGCACCAGCACCAGCACCAGCACCAGCACCAGCACCAGCACCAGCACCAGCACCACCAACACCGCAACCTAAATCCACCGAAAACAGCAGCGAGAAGGGACCAACAAAGCACAGCCCCATCAACCCCACAGGTGGGAAGGTCAAATACCGTGTTGGCCTGTCGCGAAGAGCTGCCATCCCGCCGCTGCTCAAGATTGTGCGGAAATAGATGCGTCAAGCTGGAGAAAGCAGGGTAGTTTTTGGCAGAAACCGGGATCGTCCATAAAGACATGTATGCCCCCATCATTCGCACACGTCCGGCCAGGGGCAGAAGCACGAGGAAGGGGTTCCTGCTTGGCGAGAGCTAGAGGGGGAGGCCTGGTGTACAATACAGAAATCTGACTAACTAGAGCCTAGACATAGATATCAGGAACCCGCGAGGGGGAGACGCGATCTCTGTCCCAACAGCTTATCGCCTCGGCGCAAGATAGAGAGACCGAGAGGGAGAGAGTATAGATATCAAGACCGACGAACGGACCTCTTATCCCGCCAACAAACGTATTCCCTCCCTCCGTCCCTCCGTCCCTCCATCTCAATCAAGTGCCTAAGAGAAGTTGTCGGGTGTTGGAAGACGAAAGGCGCAGCAGCAGCGCCAGTGGCAGTGCACGGTGCACAAGACAGGTAGCTGTGCAGACTTGGTGCTCAGCGCGTGATGCGCGTGGGCATGCTATCCCGTGCACACCAGCTTGCTCTCATATCAACCGGACTGGGGTACTAGATTAATCTATCTTTGCTGGCTGGCTGGCTGGGTTCAGCGCACGCGGAGAGGAGTAGAGGGAGAAGGAGAGGCAGGGGGTTGCAACTGTACCAAATTACATGTAGAGAAAGAGAGATGCTGAATGAAGGAATGAATGAACGAACGAACCCATCTCCAATCCCCCCCCCTCCCCTACCCTCTTCTCTTTTCCCAGCCATCCTTTCTTCTCGTCATACCAATACCTCGACTCGAGATTGAATATTACTCCGTCCCAGAACCAAGGGCAAATTCACAGGAGCACTATGCTACATCACACTACATGACACTATACGAACCAATCTCCCCCCCCTTCCTTCGCTCGGGTGAGATTTTTTTCAAACAACACAGGCCAGAGTGTGACAAAATGCAAAAAGATCATCTCCCCAAAAAAAGTCTTATTCGTATCTCTGGGTATCGATGACACAAAGTGGTATTCCGTAGGAGAGTAAAGGAGCTTGACAAACCACCAACAAAGGGAAATGAATGGCTGCGAATTACATATGATGTTACCGAGTACTTGATGCCGAAATTCGCTCGCCCCACACACACACTGACACAGAATAACCTCGATGCGATGCGATCTGGGGGATAGACCGATCTTAATCAATCAATAATAGATCTTCGGCTCAAAGATAGGTGCGGTATCATCCTTCACCACAACCAATTTCCCCTTCTCGTCGAAATAAGCCCCTTCATCCGTCATAGGGATAACATGACTCGTATGCATGCATTCCTGTCTCGAGACACCAGATTGATCCCTCGGCACCCACAGTAGAGGCGGTCGATCGGTGATGGCCGGGTGATGGTACGCCTCCCTCGCCGTCTCTTCCTCATATTGCGCAGGGGCGAAGTTCTGCGGGACGAGACGGCGCATGGTCGCGTAGTCGGTGTAGAGATCTGGTCGGAGGAATTTGGAGAGTAAGTTCGGTCTCTTGTGGGGTGGTGGGGTGGGGAGGCCCTTGTCGATTCCTATGGCATTGGAGCCGTCGACGCCAGGTTTCTCATAGGAGTCACCGTTTCTTGCCCCAGAGGAATGCACAACGCCTTCTTCGGCTCGGAGGAGGGTTTCTTCTTCTGCTTCGAGGGAGCGAGGAAGATAGTAGAGGAGGGGTTGGATGGCATTGTTGAGGGATACATGGTAGAGGACGCTGACGATGAGCAAAACGACCATCAACACTAAGGGTCCAGGTGCTGCTTGGATACCGAAAAGACCGAGTAGGCAGAGGATGAGTAGATAGCAGCCCACCGTCGTATGCTGTAGAGCTCGAGGGTAGACGAGGCCTTTGGTGTCAACCGTCGTTGTATTGACGAAAAGGAGGTTGTACCGGTACGCGAAGTAGAAGAGGTACAATCCTATAGTGGCAAAACCTAAAACCAAGGGTGCAATACACGAGTACGTTATAGCGATTACAGCTAAATTGCTATTGAAGTTAGCAGGCCACTGGGCAGATTCAGGCGCTCTTCTCCTACCTTATCACTGGAAAGATGGTTCCCAAGCCTAAGCGGCTGAGAGTGACCCAACGTTGGTATGCTTTTCTTGGGGTCTTATCGAGGATCCTTCCTAGTACATTGAACAGGATCAAGGCTACAAGCTGTAGTAGGGCACCCGATGCAACTAACAGAGTCAGTTGACAGTCGCCCACATAAAGTCAACGAAAAGTACTTACACGTAAGGCCTCGCAAAATGAAGAAATTAATGTAGAAGTTGGACGCTAATGGTAGATTGGTAGCCAACAGTGTGGTGACCGATTGAGGATTACTGAGAATAGGTTGGATAGCCTTCGAGACTGCACTGGACAAGGTGGTGACGAGGAAGACTTGGATAACCTGGAGAATGTAAGCAAGAACATCACGATAAGGGTATGTATATTCATACTTGGAACCAGAAGTAGCTGGTTTGCACCCGTAGTTCGATTTGCGAAAGAGTTGGCAGGCCGGACGTCTTCGCGAGGAACTTTAACCACGGAGGTAACATTGCGATAAGTAAAGCCAGCAAAACGACGGGAAGCAGTCCGGTGACAACACCCAGGATCACGGAGGGGATTGAGTTGATGAAGCTCAAGAACGGAATCCTCTCGGTAAGGGAATTGATGTTGGAGATTAGCCCAACGACTGCAACCGGAATAGACCTGTTCCATCGTGGGTTAGCTTTGTCCACGGTCTGATTGATCACATCACGACATCCTCTGACGGAAGGTGGGGCCTGATACTGGAAGATTGGAAAGGCAAACTTACCAGAAAATGATGGTGACAACCACAGCAGCAATGCACAGAATATTTCTGATAACTCTTGTTCTCCATGTGATTCCGGTGTTACTCCAAACGACTTCGTGAGGGCTGAAACCAATAACGCGAGGAGCCATGTGCAGCGGTTGATGATGCGCAACCATTTGATAAGCAGCCTGAGCCTCAGTCTGGTTCCAGAATTCCACGATCACCGTGTTGCTGCTTTTGGCGTTGCCAGATCTATGGAGATCTTGCTCCTTAGCAACCTCGGGAATCATGCGCTGCAGCTCAGAGCGGCACCAATTGATTGTGTCCACCTTTTTACCAATCAGAGGCTTGAGCTTGTGGGTGGGCCGTTGTTTTGGCTGGATCCATCGTGCAGCAGCTGAGCCAGACTCGCCACTAATGTCAACATGCGCTGCAGCACCCTCCACGTCGCCAGATCCCTTCTTCAGAGATTTGCGACGAGCATCATCAGCCATTTTGATCAGTTTGGTCTCTGCAGCCTCCAGCTTCATCGCGACTTTGTTACGCTCTTCGACCTTGTCTTCAAGGTCCTTAGTTTGAGTAGCAACCCATACATTCTTCAATTTTTTTCCGTACATTTGTCGGATCTTCCTTTCGTTGGCGTATTCATCCGGCACGGAGGAAAAGAGGACACTCCTGGAAGAAATCCGATACGCGTAGAGAGGCGAAAGGAGATAAGCTTGCCGCAAATTGATATAATAGATACTCTCCCTCGTTACCATAAAGAAGACAAACCCAACGAAGAGCCATGCTACACCAGCGTGTGCTGTGGAAATGATTAGATTCGGAAGTGTTCGCATACAAGGCCGGGGGCTATACCGTAGTATCTGTATTTATTGATCACATTCGCTGTACGAGATGATTAGCCAGGTACGTATTGAGGAAGACATGGGTACTGACCAAATGTGAGCAGATCGAGTTGCTGTTTGCCGGCACCTCCTGTTGCATTGATAGGGAAGAGAACAGGCCATGTCATGCAGCAGCCAACGAAGCAGGTGACAACGCAAATTTTCAAATACCGGAGGAGAAAGTAGCCATCGAGGGAGTTGTGTTGCAAGACGTAGGTATCAGGAATCTGGACATAGTAATTCAGCAAGAGCACGGTTCGGGGCAGGAACACCTTCACACACCTTGTTGAAAGCAGGGATCCAGCCAAATAGGGTCTTGGGCAGCTTCGGGCTTTTCTCATGGTCGCGCAGAGAGCCCAGGTATGAGCGAGGTGCGTATTGACGGATCAAAGTTCTTCGCAGAATAAGGAAGACAATGGTGAACGCAGCGGCTAGGAGAAGTGAGGGAACGAGAGTCGACACCAAGCCAGAGAGTGAATTGGAGTTGTTCGGGTCATCACGAGCGCTTCCGACGTTTGGATCATTGTTTTCGTTCTAGAATTATGATTTTAGGAAGGTTCACCAACAACCAATTTTTCTATTGAAGGAAGGTGACTTACAACCTGCCGACGCGACAGAGCGACAGCATCCAATACCTCCATCTCGGTATCAAATTCGATCGCAAAGGATTAGGAGTACAGCACTTGTCGCTTTGGGGTATTTAATTGATGCGCATGAGCAGAAGTGATGATTGTAGGTAGAAAACTAGATGTGGGTAGTAGTGCAGGGAGAAGGAAAGAATGAGATTGATATGATGGTGATCAACAAGCCAAATTAGAACCAAGATCCAGTTCTGAGCCTGGAATCTGGTAACTACTAAGTGGGTCCAAGCCCCAGCTTAGCCCAGATACTGCCCAGATACTACCCGTAGGATTCAAGCTTAAAAAGAGTTCCCACCAACAGAAAGGAAGGCTCCGGACTTGCTCAGTGGAAAAGCAATCAATATTTTACGTCACCCTGCATTCTTTCACGTCCCTCAATTCAAGGGTGATCCGTAGGTAGTGGAAAGATCAGATGATTTGATCTGTTCAAGGCAGAGAACCGTCCTTCGTGCTCCTGGTTCCAATCTTCGTGCCACTGCTAGTGGATAGAGGTCCAATAGTACCCAGAGAATACTTCCAAATTATCTGGTTTTTCTCTAAGTTGACGTACACCTTTCGAAGCAAGGTTCTGGTCATGCCGTAAGGATCCACGCAACTAGGTTGAACTTGGCTCCGCACCGCCACAACATCCGGCGGAATCATGCGACAGTGATTGTGGGGTACTGAGACAGGTAATCTGACCATGATTTATACCATATCTACTACTACATAGTACTAGTACGTATCTTATTTCCATCGTGGTAGAAGGCATGCTATTGGTGGGCAGAAACTTATCATTGTTTCTTGAGGAGTTTGAATGCTCCATAAGCTATGACCACTGACTGGGGCTCCATCCACGACCACACGGATTATCGCCAGCTGAAGCTCTATCTAGACTGCAGCCACATGCAAAGGCCACAGAGGCATAGCCCAACGTCGTACCACATGCATAAGGTAACACCGGTTTTGTAGCATTCGGGTGTACAGATCACATCTCGTTCATTCTTTTTCACGATGCCCATCTCTACCATTCGAAAGGATCCTCCATCTCGAGTGCTGTCATCTGGTCCACCTCTTCTTCACTGCCATCCTCAGTTTCGTGAAGGAATTGTGCCATATCAACACGAGCCTCTACTGGTTGAAGCACTGGTCGTCGGTTTTCCTGACCTTGGTCCAAAGAATTAAGAACGCGGTTTCTTGCTGCAGGCATCCGAATCTGGTCCGTAGCATCATTATCGAAGAACTGGGGTGGAGTTGCCGTCTCGTCTTCGTAGATGGTGAAATTTGCTGGCTGACGTCGACGTCGTGCCGCCTTCCCTCTCAAGTTGGGGTCTGAAGGAGGCCATGGAAGAGAGGGGTCTAAAGCAGTGGGGACCTGCGGTGTGCTGATGTGTGTGTTCGAAAAGCTGCTGACAAGGCTTTGTGGAACGTGAGCATGCTGGGAAGTTTCAGAAGCAGCTGTCATGGACGGCACAACTGTAGCAGAGAGAGTGCTTGGCCGGAGTGTTGACGATGATGCGAAGCTCAGCGTAGACTCATTACCATCTCCAACGGTCGAGTTGCCCTCCTCTGACTCTGTCTCGTCAACCTCACTAGCAATAAAGCTTTCATCATCGCTATCACTGCTGAAGACAGCGTCAACGTTGGTGTTGTTGGTGTCAGCTGCCACAACTGTCGAATCGTCCTCCTCTGAACCTGTGAAATTTCCCTCATCATCAGCAAAGCTTTCATCGTCATCGTTGAGGGCGCTGCCAGCGTTGAGATTGTTGAGACGAGAAAGCTTGCGGCGTTTTGGATTCGGTTCGTATACAGGCTCGTCATCAGCATCAATAGCATCGTCCAAACCAACGGAGTCCGAGGCCTTGAGACGCTTCACTTCTGGCTCATCCTCAGATTCATCCATCTCTTCTTTGCGCTTGTTGTTCTGTGTGGCACTTGTAATGATGTCCATACCAGTAGACATGGCTGTCCTCGTCATCACTAGGTCAGACGGACCAAACGGGAAGGCGCCATGTTCAGCGGTTTGTTTGGCCAAGTCATCTGAGGTAGCGACCAGCGGACCAGGCTCAGGGGCTTTGTGGAGATTTCCTGGATATTTTCCTTGAACGGCCCCATAACTTTGACCGCTATGAGCAACCACTGGAAAGAAATCTTTGAGTGACGTCTGTCTAAGAGACATCTTGAAAGATCCTGTGACAGTCAGACGAGTGCAGACAAATAACAGTGGGATGACAAGAAGGGCATGACTGGTTATGGTGAAGCGGTGGGATGGTAGAGCAGAAGATCAGTTGGTGGACAACTGACTTGGAAAGGAATGAGTGGTTACGGTGAAGTGGTGGGATGGTAGAGCAGAAGATCGGTTGGTGGACAACTGACTTGAAAAGGCCTTGAAAGCGGACTTACAAGACGATTTCTTTAGCGGTTAATAGCTGTCAAGGAGGAAGCCTTAAGGAGGTCAGAAAAGTTTCGTGCAGCAAGAATGTCTGCCTTGGTTATACCTTGTGATGGTTGGAGCGACAAGGTGATTTGCAAGGACGGGTGTGCGGCGGCGAGGTGAGCTTGCTAATATCTTCTATGACGAAGTACAAAGCAGTGAGTCTGTTCGTATCTAGCAGGATAGTAACAACGTTGATGGAGTATGAGGTTGAGCGTGGTTGGTTGAATAGACAGTTTAGAATACTCTTGCCAAGCTCAGTTGAGGTTCAGATCGACGTAGACCAGATAGCACACTGATGGTGAGCCTCTGGCACCACGTGACCAGGGTCCATCTTACCCTCCTCCAGCGTGTGTTCCAGATAGCAGCAGGCACCAGCTTACTGGCCTTGTTCGCATTGTGTTATGGGCATGTTGCATTGGGTCAAGAAGACGTTAGTGAATGCATCTGTCCCAGCACAAGATGTGCCAAGAAAATCACAGGTAGGAAAGCCAGCAGCATCCCAATCCATCACAAATACCATGGACAAAAGAGCCCCAAAGATAAGTGACGAGGATGGAGCTTGCTGGGCGTATCATGACTGGGGAATGTGAGGTGAGGCTCAGCATGGCAATTAATCGTGCTGAGGATCATGCTGCTGTGATCAGGAGAGTGCTTGGGTACTTTTATCTGATAATTATATAGTTCGGAGGTGATCGAAAAGGTGAGAGGGTGAGAGAGTGAGAAAGGCCAGGGGGTGTGAAAAGAATTGGCCGTCACTTTATGTTTGAAGGCCTTGCAGGAATGGCTGGCAAGAGCCTAGAATATTGCACCGACTGACAATGAAGCTGTGGCAAAGCACAGCTTGAAAGCCGCACTCATCATAGTTTGTTGGAGAGATGGGTCTGCCAGACAAGAGACAGCAATCAAGCTCCATTGTTGGTGATAACCCAAGAGGTGCTGCCAGAGGCCATCAACCCCATATCAGCAAACCATGGCATGACCACCTGACGCCTCATCGCTCTGGATCTCCGGATATCCGGATATCTAGGTCGTGGATGGATGTATTGAAGCAAGCCTTGCCAGTACAATTGAGTAGAAGTGGTTGCATGCCACTGCAAGGTGAGCAAGGCACAGAAATGTTGCATTGCTCTGCACTCTCAGAAAGATGTTATTCTGCCAGAGTCAATACTTACAGAAACGATGGAAAAATTGGCAGGTTGACATCTCAGTGGTGGAAGATGCAGTTGGACCATGCAAAGTGGTGCCTAATGGGAGGGCTCTTTGGGTGCCACGTTGGTGGAGGTTGTAAACAAAGACCGGTTTCTAGTGTTGTTCCTTGGCAGGTGTTCTGAGAGGCCACTGCGTTCAATGCAAACAGAAATGATTTTTCTGCAGAGTCAATCTGATCTGAGACCGCAAGCACCAGGAAGCAAGGAGATGAGCAGATATGCACTGCATCCTAACTTGTTCCCGCGCATCCTGATTCAGCTGGTGGTGATCATGGCGGTGGATGCCGAGGAAGTACATCACTCTGCTGCAAGGCTGCAGAAGGGGAAAGTGTTTCGAGAATGAGACGTGTGCCTCTGTCACGCATTGGCTTTGAGACCAACAGAAAGGTCAAAATCACGGCCCGTATCCATGTGCTGAGGTGGCGCTTTTGGTGGCTTGGGATTGATCAATCTCCCGACAGTCTCACCATTTCATCCAGTCCAAATCTGCATCCAAAACCTCCGAGCTCACATTTCAAGTGGTCAACACCATGATTGGCTCCTGCATGGCATGCTTTCGGATACTCCGTACATTTTGGGCTTTTCGCGCATGCGATGAGGGTCCTCTCAGATACCTGGTCATGGATCGTCTCTACTCATTGGAGAAGCTGGTGTCTGGTTTGTTTGAGGACAAGCCATGTTATCCCTTCAGGATTTGGTGCGATGCAACATTACTCCGTACTCATACTTCCGTCTTGGGTACTGTGCCCTTGGTCAACTCAGAGATTATCGCAGCGCTGGGCCGTGTCATCACCCTGGTCACAGAAATCGCAATTCATTTGCTTCAGGTAAACTGATCGGCACAGCTCAACTCCGGCAGGATGTTCTTGACTGGACGTTTTCGACATGCTCAAGGTTCAGAAGCGAGCAAAGTGTAGAGAGGGGTTACAACAGAACTGCTCAGGTTGCACGATAACAGTCCAGCTTCACGCTGAAGCCTAAGGATACTGCGATGGTTGTTGTTCCATGGCCAGGGTTGTCGAAAGGATGCTACTATCTTATATATAGCCAACGCAGTTGGACTTTGACCTGTTCTTTTGCTGCCACTAACTTAGAGCCTTCTCATTCAGTTTTGTCTCTCTCACACCAAAGCATTCGTTTGCGTGCGTCAAGCCATGTGATTGACATACTGCGGGATGATGCTCCGGTGAGACTAGGGTTTGAATAAGTCAAGACCCAAGGAGGGAATAATGGCGGTGTTATGGGGAATGGTCTCCCCTTGCTAGACTGAAACCTTGAATCCCATACCAAGGGGTTCTGCTCTTGGCCCGCCCAGCATCTGGTTCATTTGCACCTTCTTGATAGAGCATAAGCTCGTCTTGGCTGTCCAGCATCTTCCCGGTCCCTTTGACCGCTCCCAGTTAGCCGAGTTCTGCACTCCTCCCTCCTTCTGATCAATCTACTACCTAGTAACCATGTACTTGTACTATCATAGAATCATCTTGCACGATTTGCCATATGGATTGTTCTATGTCTCTTTCAGCCTCTCACTATATCCCACACTCCTTAATATCTGATGATCGGCCCGTTTCCGAGACATCGATCCGTACCTCGACCTCGATTCGGCTTGATGACACCCATGCATGAACGTCACGATTGAACGATCCTACGACCTCTCAATCATACCGACCCTCTATTGCAACTCTCTTACCCTTCTTTATCATGGCGTCAGCTCCAATGAATGCTTTAGCCAGCTTTATGTACCTCACCGACATGCTTCCCACTTGGATTACCCAGATCAACACCCTCGGCACGCATGTCGTTACCAAGCGGGAGGAATTCTCTGCTGAATACAAAAGAGCATTGGAGCATGCCAGGCCGAGGAGGAAGAAGACACCATCCGTAACCTCCCTACAGACAAACCAGAAGCCGGTATCGATAAGGTCTCAAAAGAGCAATACAAATGCTCAGGACATGCTGTCCATCCCTCGAGCAAGCGAGATCTCACCGCTCGATCCTGAAAGTAAATATCTCTTCGCCAACGCTCGCCGAGGCAAACGCAAACAAGGCGCCTCCTTCCGCTCCGGCGCATCAGGCCCACAAGCATTCCGAAACCAGCACCAGGTCATCATCTACTATGATTCCGTCTTACAAGACGGCTTCGAAGCCCTCGTGAAGGAGATTGGGACCGCGAGAAACAACGTCCGGAAAGGCAGGCAGGCACGAGAATTGGAACGCGGCTTACGACTGCCTTCCTTCGGCATGGGAAACTACACCCGGACACAACGAGGGCCAGTCATGCCGAGTCCACCCAAGTCTCGCTCGCCCACGGATCTAACGGTCGACCCGAAGATCCTTCTCAACGATGCACCACCTAATGAGGATGCATCCTTCACAGAAGTGGCCAATCAGCTTGAAGCAGCCCAAGCTCTATGCGAAACAGCTGCTCATCAGTTCCTTAGGGATGGAGACTGCACGCTTGAGATCGACCGAATACGATCATATCTCGAGAATGTGTTGCAAGTCGCCAAGCGGCAGATCGAGGCCTGGGAACAAGAGGAGGACGGTGCTAGGACAGAAGGCAAGGAGGCAGCGGCACTAGTGAAGAAGGAGAACCACGACGTGGCCACCGTTGTTGCAGAAAAGCTTGGTGTAAATATCACGCCGATGGTTAATACGGTGACCCAAACTACAGAGATAGAGGTGGATTCAGACGACAACAGTGTTGAGGAGGATATAGTTGTTGATATTACGAAATTCCGATCTGCAAGGGCAAGTGGAATCAGGGCTTGAATCAAGCGGATGGAAGGAGGGTTTTCTCTACATTTGTTGTCATTTAGCGCCGGAGCATACACGACTGGAACCGGAAATGGCGTATGGAATTTGCATGAGCGTTGGTTTTGCTGGCAAGGCCAGAAGCGGCAACAAGTGTCTTAGCCAGCTTGACTTTGTGAGCTTTTTCTGCTCATTGTATCCAAAAGGGCCTTGATACCGAAGGGATAAACGTCCTTCACGTGATGATGATGAGAATATAACAAATGTCTCAACCTTGATGTGATGTTCTTCTGCTTACTTGGTCTCATTACATCATGGATATAAAATTCAGTCGTGCGAACAAGCGTCCCCACCCATCCATATTGTTGCATTGCGAAAGTGTTGCAATTCCTTGGCGCTACCCTCGAATTGCTGGCGCCGCCGCGGGGCAGAATTGCAGTGAGGGCACCTAAATTATCGTAGTAGAATGCCTAAAATCACCCGGATAGTAAAATAGACTCTTTTGTGACCTTACTACTAAAGTTTTAAGATAAAAAACTATAGTGTTGAATTGTGAGAAGCAATTAAATGCCGAGAGAGCTTTATAGCGTCTTTAGAACGCAAATAGAGAGGAGGAGGTCAAGGAGGAGGAGGATATCAAGGAGGATAGTACTATTGATTCGTCTTATACTAGAGATTTAGATGTTATATTAAACAAGAGAGGGATATATAACAGCATGGTATCCTCCATGATAGCCTCCTACATCTCACCACAATCTTGCCCCCGCGGCGCCAGCAATTCGAGGGTAACGCCAAGGAATTGCAACACTTTCGCAATGCACAGTACTTAGTACTTGCAGTCATTGAGCCAGATCCCAACGCCATCCGTCGGTCTGTCCGTCGGGTTCGAATCATAGTTTCAAGCATATCGGAGGAAGTAGATATTCAGTTTCCCCGAGATTGTCTTCGACTTGCGCGTCCTCTTCGACTTCTCTCTATTCACGGACTCTACTGCCGTGGAAAACTGCAACGGCGAAGGAGATATAGACTCATTATGGTAGCAAGATCTCCGTAGACTCCTTTTCACGGCTTGATTGGTGGATATTGTTGTCCCCATCGGGCAAGGATTGCTGGTCCTCCTCCTTCCTCTTTCTTGACACTATGAAATAAACACTTCACTTTACATTCCGACCGGCGCTGTTCTTGCAGGAGCAAGGATATAGTTCGGTTGAAGGCACAAGGGAACAAAATCTCTATATCTAGATAGACGGAAGAAGCTGCATGTGTTCGAGTTTGACATGCCCCATCACATTCATCAGTGTGAAGCCAGGTTCGCGTTCGCGTTCTCAGCATGCATGTAGACTATCCGTGGAAAACTCTCATGACTGCTGTGCAATGAGTCAAAGGCGAGCCTTGGGATTATCGGTGATTGTAAATAGAAGCTGAGACTAGACCTGGTTTCGGCCTCTCGTCACACACGTAGGTAAGGAAAAGTGATAGAGGCACACGCTTGAGCCATGGTTGATAAGTGCAGCCGTGAAAAGATCGGGTCATCGTTCAACCATATTCGAGGGCAGCTTGGCTGCGGGCTGGAGTAGAACGATGGTACGAGGTACCAACCCCCCTACTTCATCGTCACATGGATGGCCGCCGGCTTGAATCTGACCATACTGATAAGATTGAAATGATATGCACCAGGAGAAACCGGTTTCAAGCTATTCTTATTGCGCTAATGTAGCAATGCCAAAATCCTTGGAATTCCTTGATTTTGTTGTGGTAATGGGAAAGCAAGCGCCGCACACGTCCTGTCGGAAACAGTGGACCCGTCTCTCCTCCGCACAAGTACACGCCCTGGCCAAGTACATTAAGACAGTCCGGTAGAAGAAGGAACTGGGAAACAGCGTCCTGGGTCGATTGGCCCTGTACTAGCAGCTCGCGTTCACTGATTCGGGTGTCAGTCCACTCTCGACTAGGTGATGAATTCGACCGAAGAGCTCACAGATATCTCGTCCATTCCAAGGTCCTCTCCGCCAGCCGTGGCTGGTTGAGCATTTCCACTCGCAGTGCCATTTGCGTCAGTCATGTTGGTAGTGGCGCCGCCATTGTTGTTTGTGAAGTAATCGGTCATCTCAGCGTCGAGCTCTTCGGCTGTCTTTGGCTTGGAACGGGTCGCATTCTTGCCTCGCTTTTTTGCCTTGTTCGCTGCTTTCTTGCCAGCGCCGTTGGTAGCTTTGGTAGAGGTAGCAGACCTCGGCTGAGCTTTTGGGTTTGCGCTAGCTTTGGTCAGTGGTGTTGATGAACCAGACTTATTAGATCTTGCATACGCCACACGATCTCCTAGACTCTTCACAGTTGGTGGAGCTGGTGCGTTGCTTGCATCCACAATAACTTCAATCTAAGGAAGTCAGATATCGCTGGCGTTCGGCGGGTAACAAGAGGCTTGCCTTCATCGGTCGCTTGTCCACGAGCATGCCATTCAGATCTTTAGCCGCTTTCACCGCAGCATCTGCCTTCGAAAAGATGATTGTAGCAACGCCGAGACTGCGCCCGTTTTGGTTGTAGGTCATCAAAACTCTTCTAACTGGTCCAACAGATTTGGCAAAGTATTCCTGTGCGCGATTTGTTCGTGATCAGTATTCGATATGGTCAAGAATGGAGAAAGCAGCATCGAATCGACAGGACGGAAAGACTTGGCGCCAGGAGAAGACATATTGATCTTGATCCAAACCAAGGAGCATCAACGAGCCGGTGGAGAGAGTGAAAAAGCACCGGTAGATTCCGAGGAAGTCGACACTCAGGGGCGCGGAATTAACGAGCCAGGCGAGCGTATGTTTCTAACAAGGTCCTAGTATCGACAAGCCGGATAAGGTTGCTGATGGTCTAAAGCGACAAGATTGAGTATAGATGTCGGAGTCCGTGGGTCCATTGAGTTGAATGCTCATTTGAGCATTGGTATGTAAACACCGAAATGAGTGTCCCTGAGATGAGAGAACACATGTGCTGAAGGTAGTATAGCAGCATGACGCTTGATGTAAGCCATTTGAGTTGCCTCTGTCGACGGCCCAGACGCATTATGTTTCATAGAGCCCGCTTCCTCGGTTCTGCCGTGGGAATGTCTTGCGCCATACAATGCTGGTGGTCTGATAGGCGCCACTAGGCTGTGATAACAGTCGCCTGTCTGGTTGGTTCCACTGTGCTCGTCCATGATTATGCTCGTTGATGCTCCTGGTAAGAATGAAAAGAAATACTATTTCTCAGGCCAGTAGCATGTTTGCTCGTAAGCTTGTAGTAGCCGCTACCGGCATGCCCGAACGCCTACGGTGTTTGGCACCAGACGGCTCAGAAGTGGAAAGACATCACTGATTGAGGATCTTTACCAGCTCCGCTCCACAGTCTGAACAATTGAGCAAGAGCACAAGTGCGCAAGCAAGACCATGAACAAGCGCCTGTGGGCATTTCACCATCCATGCTTATGCCACGTCCACATCTTCTCGCATCGTTTCGAAATAATATGTAACCTGCGATGCTCGAAGATGTTTCGTAGTTCGCAAAAGTGGATGGCGACAAGAATCCAAGGTGATAAGCCTCGATCAACATACCTTGATTTGGGCTTCATTGACATCATGGGGCTAGATCTCGTTTAGCAAACTCCATCATAGCTTGTGTAGAGAAAGCCTTACCAAGCCGGTGACAATGATTTTGCTCTCCTTTGGAGGAGCTGATGGTCCACTTGGAACTCCTTTAGTGGCGGACTTGGCCGATTTCACCGACTTCTTGACTCCTCCTACAGGAGCAATCTTAGCCGTCGTGCCAGTAGTCTTTGCAGGCTTGTGAGGGCGACGTCCTCGATTAGCCTTTCGGCGTGTGCTGAGGATCTCGTCAAGTGACTGATCGAGCTTGCCTGACATTTCGATGGCAGATGTATTTGGCAGACGTGAACCAGCAATTACGTGTAAGATTGTCTGTTGAATCTGATGCCTCGATCTGTTCGGAGAAGGAATGAAGTAGCCGCTGGAAGAAGACGCTTGCTGGGGCCAAGGGTTCAGTTGTGGATGGTGTGTGCGTGATAAATGCGCCAGAAGGTGGTTGAGTGATATGGGGCGCTGGATGATTCACAGAACAGAATTGCAGAAAAGGCGGATGCCAACAATGAAAATGGATTTACTTGTGAAGATGTTATTGAGGTGGTGGTGAAGTTGTTCAAAGGAGGCAGCAGTCCAAGGGAGTTTCCACACCGCGCTAGTAAAAGCAGACTAAGCCGCTTCCGGTTTGAGATATGTTACGGTAAGGTGGCTGATGGAGTTGGGCTTTCAACGTGCTTGTCAAGGCAGAATCTGTGTATGCATATGGCTTCTTTACTTGAAGACAAACCCACGGGCTGGATCTACTTGATGCACTTCAATGCGACTGTGCGCCATCTACTTCGGTTGTACACTTGGTCAAGCAGCAGGAACAGAAGGAGAAAGTATATAACTCAGCTCCGTAAAGCTTCTAGCCTGCCTCTCATCTGCTCGAGAGTGACTTCTTGTTCCTCGAAGCTCTCTTCCTCTTCCACAGGCTGTTGCGGTAGCTGCTCATCCGCGGCTCCAACCTTTCCAAGCTTGCCATGTAGGACCTCTCCTAGCACTTGTTCCACTTCAGCTTCAGCTTCTTCGTCCTCTCCTTCTAGGAGTTCGTTGTCTGGTAATGTATCTCCGACCATTTCTTCAATGATGCCGGCCTTCATGAGTTCCTGGCTGAGCTCCCTCATGGTTCCCGTAAGTTCGGGTAGTCTAACCAACGTATTGACATCCCTCATGATGCCGGTACTGGCCTTCAAGCTCCCTTCGATCTTCCTTACTGAGAATGCTTCGGTCACTTGCATCTGGACACTTTGTAGTTGTGCTTTGCTTGTATGTAGCCTTGCGCTCTGCTTGCGTACCCTGATCAGTTCTCTAGCAAAAGTCCTCGCTTCCTTAGCGGCCTGTTGGGCATGGGACGGGTTCTTTTGCCCTCTCTTTGAAGCCTGTAGAATATACTGTCTCGTCTTTTGGTCGAGGACTTTAAGTTGATTGATGTCACGATCGAGCTGTCGGACATTCTTGCGGATTATGCCGTTGCATTTTCTCATCTGAGGGTGTCAGTTGGCGGGATGCACTACAGCAACAAGACTCAACATGCCTGGGCCGCCGGATCAGGCTTGAAGAAGACAGCCTTAATAGACTCCATTGTGCTTGTAACACCCATACAACTCCGTTGTGGCTGCGTGAAGAAAATAGAATTGCGAGGCGATCATCAATGCGTCAATATCATTGTCGAGTAGAACCTCACAACATGTATATCATTGCTTCTCCTCGCAGAAACAGAAGGCGATCTAGTTCAGTCAAACATGGCCAGTACCTTTCGTCCAGAATAGGCAAAGAGTCTGTTATTGATGGCTGTGTTGCTCGATCTGATGCTGGGCTTACTGTATCCGCTGCCTGGCTGATAGTAGGTGGTTACTAGTCTGCCGGCACCCAGACCCTTTGCAGGCCTAAGGTGCCCCCAACTTAGCGCTATGATATTTCGACATCATTCGTCAATGTTCCATGCGCATAGGCACTTTTTACGCAGCCTTACTCTGCAACACACAAACTTCCAACACCACACAATACTCATTACCCGCAGCAGACCTGTGCCTCCTATTTGCGATATCTACTTTTATTGCTCTCAGCTGCCATTCGCATCGGCAATCTCATCATGTCTCCGACCACGCCAGAAGGTAGGCTGACGCCCAAGCTGGAGCTCTGTCCTCATCTTGAGGAGAATATGCTACTCCATTCTCACTATTTTCACAAGCTGCATTGTTCGAACTCGGCATCGCTAACAGTTGCTTAGTCTTGTGGGCTCAGCGCTCATCTGCTTCTGACCCGGAAAAGAACTACATCTACCTTACTATCTCGGTCCCCGATGTCCCTCAGTCTTCGCTAAAACTTGATCTCAAGCCTACGAGTCTCTCTTTCACTGGAACCTCTGACACCAAGAAGACAACTTACCATGTAGACCTGGAATTATACGGTGAAATCGACGTTGAGAACTCGAAAACAAATCACACCGCCAAACACATCGAGATGGTTCTGCGAAAGAAGGAAATGAAGGAAGAGTATTGGCCAAGATTGTTGAAGGACAATGTAAAGGTGCATTTCCTGAAGACTGACTTTGACAAGGTGAGCCAATGGTCCACCCACAAACATACGACAACCTGTCTAACTTTGAGCAGTGGGTTGATGAAGATGAGCAAAATGAGGTACCGGACGATGACTACATGAACAACTTTGGGGGTGGCGGACTGCCCGGTGGAATGGGCGGTATGGGCGGAGACGGTGGCCTTGGTGGCATTGACTTCTCCAAACTCGGCGGTGGAGGTGGCATGCCTGGCATGGAAGGCCTTGGCGATGACGGTGGTGATGACTCCGACGATGACATGCCAGACCTGGAGAATGAAGATGCGAAAGCAGCGGCAGAGGCTCCAGAAGATGAGCAGGCATCACCGGATAAAGGCAAGGCAAAGATCGAGGAGGTTGCCTAAGCTTCTCAATTGCGGTACCAGAGCCTAGCGACCTTAGATTTGTGATCATACTTTGAACATGGGCGAAGGGTGGATTCTCGAGGTTCACAATCAAATTGGCGACGTCCAACTTGTATACCATACCATGGCCTTGTGTTTTACAAGCTTGATATGCATGAAAGGGGGTGTAGCACAAACGTCACCACTTGCTTGGTTCAGACAGACGTTAAGCTTGCAGATATTAGTATCAGGCACTGCTCTTGCATCAACTCAAGCCGGTCAACCGTCTTGGCATGTTTGCTCTGTTTCCAAACGATGTCATCCTAACTCCGTATCACTTTTTACCCGCGAGAGAAGTCCTACGTAAGGAAAGTAGTAGACGTGGCCTATTTCTTGTATGATACAGGCTCCAAAGCAGACACAGTTTCTGCTCTAGGCTCATTACTAACTGCAGCTTCAAGGCAGCTTCATTCTCTACCACTACGGCATGATTTTCTCTGCCTAGTGGACTCCGAGGAGCGTTCTACATGATTTCGTCAAATCAGAGGAAGAGACGGTCATGACAGAACGTGGAAGCCAGCTCTTCTACACTCCTTTTTCCTAACCCAACAACAGTGCTGTTCTTACGCTGCTGCTCCGCTATGTCCGCCAGGCAAGCTGCCGGTGCTGCCAGCGCCACAGCATCTTTGGTGTCCCAAGCCCTAGGTCCATCCGCCCTTAACGTGACTTCCACAAGAAGCGCCAATAAAACTCTCTCTTTACCCTTGCGCGCCTTGCGTTACACTGTCAGAACCGAGAAGTTGCTATTGCGCAAAGCTCCTTTGTTTTTCCTTCGGCTTTCTGGTCTTCCGACTTTGGCACACTTAGTCAGTGATGCGCTGGGAATGCCGGCGCCGCTTGTTGGAGTGGCCGGCCAAGACGGAATGGAGGCAGCGGCAAGACAGGCAGGACCACAAACATGGACGGCGGCACTTTTGGAGGCAGCGGAATTGAGCAACATCAGGAGTCTGGGCGGCATGTTCAATTTCCTCTTCTCTAGATGGGCATTCGCCTGTCTTGCTATGGTATGACGAATGTAGTCCTTCGCCTGATCTCTGTGAAGCGGAAGGCTAATTTACTCTAGGCTTTGATATTGAACAGAGTCAATGTCTACGCATCTTCGAGACAGCGAATCTTCTTGACATGGGACAAGCGACTTGCTCTTCGGATCATCCCCATTCTTCTCTTCGTCAGCCAGATTCGCCAACTCCTACAAGCTATACGATGTCAGACGGCCCCGGAGTTCTCTCAATTTCGTTATGGCAAGCCTAGCAAGAGCGTCATGCTGGACTGGGCCACGTCGGGCGGCTGGCTTCACACACTGTCATCAGCTTTATTGTATGGTTCCACCGACCAAGATGCATGTACCGCTATTGGGATGGGTCGACCATCTCCTCACGTTAGAGCACCTTATGGCTCATTTTCCTTACTTTGGCCGACATTTCTACGCATATGCCTCTCGCAGTTGGTGGAAACGGTCTCATGCTCATTGCAACAGCTCCCATTGATGACCGAGACAGGTATGTCCGTTTTCGAGCATTCTCTAGCTTTCGCGGAAGCCGAGACCATGCTCTATAGCGCGCTAGGCTTGGGCTTCCTCGGTTCATCGAAATCAGCGACGGTGACAACCATAAGTGCGGCATCTCAGACAGCCACCACTCAACCGGCGGCAACATTCCATGCCTCTGCCACCGTCTTAGCTCTCACAGATGCTGCAACATCTTTATCTGGGCCACATGTCCTCGACCGCATGAATGTGCCGACAGAGGTTTTGCTCATTGCGTTGCTTTCGTGTTGTAACAGTCTATCATCCAATATCATCGCTGTATTCAACCGCCAGCGCTCGCTACGACTGATCAATACTGCCATCTGGGCCATTTGCTTCATGTCAGCTTTCGTCTGGGGATTTTTGACGGTAAGCAATCTCGCGAGGGTTGATGCAGATGGACGAGAAGGTCGACTCGTCAGCGGGTTACTGCATTTTCCAACTGTTTGCATTCTAGGCTTCACACCACATTTGCTCATTCTGCTTGGGATGAGCGCTTGTGTAGGGATCTACCTCTTGGCACTACTTCTTACTGCGCTGAGCCTCGGATCTAATGTGGAAATCCCACAGCCGACAAGTCTCCGGCAGCGGTTCGTGATTGCGCATGAGAACTTGCAGGCAGCACTCCAGATCAAAGGCATAAATATCAAATGGAACGAAGACGTCTACACTGCGCTATTACGTATTGGCTTCATTGCTCTTACCGCAGCGTCGGAAGCCGTTTTCCTCAACGAGGGAAGATCGGTCGAAGTTCGACGTTTTACTTGGCTTGAAGAAGAGCGCTTAGATGAAGCACGTCTAGACCGCGAATACCGGATGAACCGTCCCTCAACGACCGATTCGCATTTCCATATCACCGAAGAATATGGCATTCCTCCTGCTCCGGGTCTTGACGCCGCGCCCTCTGACTGGCAAAGTGGCTATGCCAAAGAGCGCAAGCTCAAGGACGCTGATGGCAAAAATCGCAATGCTGTTTTCGAAGGCGACAACGTCATTGTATATCCAAATCCCCGAACCAGCGGGGTCGGCGCAGTCCAGCGAAGTACCAGATTTTACCTTCTTTATTTGTTTTGGCGCGGCATACTGTTCCTCATGGGTGGGTGGATTGCTTTTTTCTTGGGGTTGTGTTTAGACCAAATAGGCATCACGGTGCGCCCAAATTGGCTGAGAAGGTTGATTGGCAAGTCGCAGAAGAAATCAACGAGCGAGAGAGAGAGAAGGAAGGTTGATAGTCCATCTTCACAGCACGACATGGTTGAATTCTGGTACTTGACCGACGAAGGGAATTTGGTCACTCCTGACAGGGATGAGTTGGACATCGAACACGAGATGCGAAGGCGAATCATGATGGAGCACCCAGGAGAGGATGCAAGAAAAGTGGAAAAGAAGGTGGATGACAGGCTCTACCAATGGTGGAAGATGCACGGCTGGTTCGGCACGAAGGACGACAGTGGTGACTATCGACCGCCACTAGAGGAGGACTTCGACGACACAACCAGCGTCATCTCCATGTCAACCGCTGCCAGCGCGTCCGATGACCGAGAATGGGAATCAGAGTCGGATGGTCGGCGTACCCCAACTCAAACAAGTCCATTTCCATCCAATCACACAACTCGAGAATCCACCCCTTTCGACTCACCTTTGGACACGGCCACCCTTGCTAGACTCCTTAATCCACCAGATCGCGCTTCAAAAGAGGAAGCCCGTCTGCTGGCATCACATCTCTCCGCCTCCGATCCCGCCAACCCCACCAACCCCTGGACCTACAACAACAAAATCCTCACCCGCTCCCAATACCGCCGCCAGCTCGAAACCGAACGAACGCGCATCCTCTTCGCTGGCCGTCGCCCACCTTCCCACCCCATCTCCTCCTCCGTCTCCGCCCAACCACCACCATCCTCCTCCTCTTCATCAGCTCACCGCCCCCTGACCGCCGCCGAAGAATCCGACATCCTCGAATCTCTTATCCTCTCCCGCCGCCAAAATATGCAGCAGCCACACAGCGCAGCATCATCAGCTTCGTCTTCAGGTCCACTTTGCGTGGTCTGTCAGGCTTCTTCACGGACGATCATTGCCTGGCCGTGTCGCTGTCTCTGTGTCTGCGAGGACTGTAGGGTCAGTCTGGCCCTGAACAATTTTGGGAACTGTGTTACTTGTCGGAGGAGCGTAGCCGGGTTTGTGAGGTTGTGGGTTCCTTGATGTGAGATCACGAATGAATGATTGAATGGATGGGCGGGGCTCTTTGAGAGTTAGGGAGGCAGGGATGGATTTGCGCTGATTCTTACGTCCGCCGGGGGGGTGGGGGGTTAGGCAAGGTCTTTAGGCCAGGTGTTTTGTTCCGCATTGTTGCGAGTATGCTACTTATCCAGTGGGGCATGAGGGCAGGTATGCAAGTAAGACAAGTTAAAATTCAAGGCTCGTGAAATGAGCTCTGTCCGGCTTTTGGGTTTAATGCTGGCATCTGGCTGACATGCTCACCCTTTGACGTGATCGCCACAATCGTAACCGTGATACTTCAACCGGAAATTATAGTATGTACAAACGAGTGCCAGGGATCCCAATTCCTTCATAACACTCGAGTCCCTTGGAATTCTTCAGTAAATGCCGAATGAAGGAAGAGCACATCCATCACGACTCATCACCCCTCCTCCTAGCCCAAGCGCTCTCCCCTGCACCTCCAGCACCGGCATCGGCAGCACCCTCCTCACCCCTCCGCTCCGCCTCAAGCATGCGATCAAATTCCCTCTGCGCCTGCTCCTTGGCTAACTGCCTCTCCGAGCCTTCCTTGCTGAAGCTGAAGCTGTCCCCGCTGGTCTCGTATTCGTCCTTGGCGCTCCTTTGTTGGAGTTGGCGGGCGCTGGCGGATTGGGGGCGGGATTGGCGCATGTGCGGGGGATGGGGTGGAGGGGGAGTCTGGAAAGGGATCATTTCCTGCTGTGGGGGAGGCGTCGTTGTCGTCGAAGAATGGGGATGAGGAGGAGGATGAGTCGTTGGGTGGATTGTATTCGGAGTCGAAGGTGCGGGGTTGGCGGTCGACTTTTTCGAGTGAGAAGGTGTTACGGTTGGAGGGGTCGGAGGAAGAGGGTGAGGAGCGCTGAGAGCGGGTGCGGGACTGCATTTGTGCATCACTGAGAAGACCGGTGTTGGATGATGTGTCGGAGTATGGATATTGTGAATGCTGTGAGGAGGGCGAGGTTGGCGAGTTGGCGTCTTGGACGTAGCCGCCTTTCGAACCACCATAGTACTCTCCGTAGCCTGAGGACTGCGAATCTGGCTGATCGGATGGTGAGGATGATTGACCAGCACCTTGGCCATCGGCGGTACCTCCAAAGCTTTGTTCGATCTTTCTTTTCAGGTCTTCTTGTATGTCCCGTTGTGCTCTTTGCAATGAACTTCTAAACTCCTGGGCAAGAGCTCTCGTTCGCTCATCCCTCATCATGTGTATAGCCTGCGCACTTCGGCCCATATACTCAAAGAGTGGTAGCAGCATCAGCCATGAAGCGCCTATATAGGCCATCGTCCTCGTTGTATGCCAGGCCATTCGGGCATATCGTCCGGTCAGAAAGGCTGCTCTCTGAAGCGGAAAGGCATCATAGCGCTCTACAGGTTTTGGCTTGCGCAGCGGGAATTTGAAAGTCTTTCTCTTGTAGAAAGCCCACGCGCATCCGGCAACAATACCTCCGTATGCTGCTGCTTGACTATAGACACGTTTACGACATAGGTGTAGTGCAACCCCTTCTGCTTCTGACTGCGTTAGGGGTCTGCCATTCAGTGTTTCCATGAGGCTCATAAGTTCAATCAGAGAGCGCGAGGTGATAGAGGTTCTGCCAGGGTTTCCAAAGGCGGCTCTGCGGGTGATACCTTGCACGGGCATTCGATCGAAAGGAATACGGTAATGGCGGAGCGGTCCTTTATTGGCTCGGTATCTTAAGTGAAGTTCTTCGGAAAGGACTGTAGCAGAGGCGTCGGCCACGGTGCGGGTGCTGTCAACAGTGAACTTCTCCGTGCCTGGTGCGAGTGCTCCATGAGGTTCATTGCCATCGGGTGGAGGGACCTCGTCATTTGCGAACCCATCTCCGGGGCTTAGGATGTCTTCGAGCACCATGTTTACACCTCGTGCAAGCAACGGAGACCATAACACCCTCGAGTACTGGACAGTATCTCGAAGTTGACACTGACGTCCAGCTCGGACATGCTTGGCATCTGTCCACGCGCATTCACATCTCCAAAGTTCAACTTCCCATTTCCCCACTTTCTCTGGCTTTCCCCATGTCCCACTCTCCTGCGGCGTTCTCTGGCACTACTACATAGTGCAAAACGGCATCAACGTCCAGCGCGGTCTGCAAGCGAGCCTTGAGAGGCAGTCTATTCGGCCAGTGTTACCGAGGTGAATTGGCGAACAACTCTGCGGCTGAATGCACGGCAGGCTGGCTACCAATTTCCACCACATCTTTTAATCGTTCCTTTTGCACGGTTTCAAGCTAAATTGCGCACAACATCTGGGGAGAAAGAGCTGTCTGTGCCCCCTCCGCTGCTTGCTCGGTTCTCCCATTGAAAATTGTCTACGTGCTTAAGCTTTCTACCTGCCCATCATGCCTCCAAAGAAAGTGGCCGACCAGCCCAAAAAGGCAAAACCTTCTGTGGACGACAAAACCTTTGGGATGAAGAACAAAAAAGGCGCGACTGCAAAGAAACAGATAGCCCAACTGCAAGCACAGTCCAAGTCCAATGTCTCGCCTGAGGAAAAGAAGAAGCAGGCTGAGAAGGAACAAAGGGCCAAGGACAAAGCTGCGGCCGAAGCAGCGCAGAAGGAAGCGGCCGAACTGTTCAAGCCTGTACAGGTCCAGAAGGTCCCTTTTGGAGTCGACCCGAAGACGGTGCTTTGCCAGTTCTTCAAAAAGGGACTTTGCGAAAAGGGACGGAAATGCAAATTTAGCCACGACCTGGACATTGAGCGAAAGGGGCAGAAGAGGGATCTCTATCAAGACACTCGAACTTCAGAAAAAGAAGAAAAGGAAAAGGACAATATGGACGATTGGGACGAGGAGAAGCTACGGAAGGTGGTTATCAGCAAGCACGGGAACCCGAAGACCACGACAGATAAAGTATGCAAGTACTTTATCCAAGCGGTGGAGGAGGGCAAATATGGCTGGTTCTGGACTTGTCCGAACGGAGGGGACAAGTGCATGTACCGGCATAGCCTTCCACCAGGGTACGAAGACGTCCATCTTGTGCTATACTGAACACTACTAACCGTCTCCTCAGATTCGTATTGAAGACGAGAGAACAAAGACTGGCAGAGAAAGCGTTAATGGAGAAATCGCCCCTCAAGACCCTCACGCTAGAAGACTTCCTCGAATCCGAGAGACACAAACTGACTGGCACTCTCACCCCTGTCACACCCGAAACATTCGCCAAATGGAAGAAGGACAGGCTCGACAAGAAAGCGGCAGAGGTTGAAGCCCAGAAAGCAAAAGACGCTACTGGCAAAGCAATGTTCGAGAGTGGCGACTGGAAGGATTCAGAAGACGAGGACAGCGACGCCGAAGACGACGACGACGACGGCAAATGGAACCTCGAAGCCATGCGAAGGGAGACAGAGAGGCTGCGCGAGCTGAAAGAGCAAGAACGGCTTGCCAAACTCAACGGAGAGCCTCTCCCAGCAGCGAACGATGTCAACGGCTCTACCGACAGCGGCGGTGACGGCCGCAGCGAGAGTGGTGGATCTGAGAGCAATGGCGAAGGGCCGTCAGGCGAAAGCTAAAAAGCAAATGTTATATGATACATGAGGAGTTGTAGTTCTTGAGAGAAATCACATTCGACATTTAGCGGCTGTTTTCCACAGTTAGATATTCCTCAGGTCTGAATGGCGGCGAGGATGGGGGACGAGTGGTATTCTTACCAGATCACGATCACAATACATAATTTAGCAGTCCTTTTATGTGACAGTCACACAGCCCAGATCCATGGGAGGCTCATGGATACAGAGACGGCAATTGCGGGCATAACTTACACGTCACTTACATATTACAATTACTTGATACCACCAAAAAGTGCATTCTTCAGGGATAGACTCTTGGCGTTCTCCTCCTCCTCCTACTCCTACTCCTGCTAGTCAGACTTCAAAATCTCCACCATCAACAAGCAATTTAAACATGACAGATCTCCAAAGGATGCATAAGATACACTGAAAATCTGACCCGAATCTATCGTGTCAGCAAACTATGAGAGGATGATTACTTTTATATGACCATTTCTCACAAGACTACAGTAGTACTTCGATTCGTCACTACAAAGCTGTTTTGTGTACATCCATTCTAAAGAGTCAAATCATTACATCTAACTTCTTTTGAGCATAGCTGATCTGTACAGATTCGGCTTACAGCTAAAGATACTAGCGCTGAGCTAACATTACTTCAGGCCTCCTCCGTAGAACTCATTGGCCTGCTGATCATCGTCATTCCAGTGTAGAGAGTCGTGAAAAGTAATTTAAATAAGCTAAGAGATAGCCTGCCAAGGATAGCATCATCCTTGTAATGTCATTTCAAGTATTTCCGGGGCTGAAGCTTATATCCAGCCTAAAACGTCACAAGAACTGCCACTGATATGTCCCTTAAGCAACCACTATTCTAGGGCACTTTGGCTTTCACATCAGACACCTGGACGCCAAAGGTCATCTAATGCCTCACTGCTTCGGGCATCAGCAGGCCCAAAGCTTACAGAGAAGTCAAATGACATAACTGTCATGAGTCCCCATCTTTGGCAAGCTATCTCTTAGCGTATTTTAACTACTTTTGATGAATGACCCGTACTATTACTAGTCCGAGGTACACATGCACAAAGCCTACATGGCTAAGGCCGCACTCAACCATAGCGCCATGTTAATCAAACTAGCGAATTCCCGATTCGACACTTGGACAATTGGACACTTTAGCAACTCTTCCAGCCCTTGACCATCTCAGAGGCGGAGGCCTAGTAATGATTGTGGTTCAAGAATCACCACGTCTCACCCACCGAGGCCATGCTTGCCTATGGCAGGCTAGCATGACTGTATCGAAACATTCATCCTTGGAACGAGCAGCTTCGAGGACGGCCAGTTTCTGATCGGGCAAAGTCACCAGGTACTACCATGGTACTAGTAAAACAACAAAGCCTTGCCAGGGGTAGTTAAGAGAGAGAGGATGCAGATGCAGATGCATGACTTCCTTCTAAAGGTACCGTGCGCTGTCCACCAATCCCAGCTTTGGCTTTTCCGCCCCCATACTACGTACTCTTCATTTTGCACACCCCTGTTACGCTGCCCCAAGAATAAAACTTTTACGACGAATCGGATGCAGTCGAAACCTCTCTGGCTGTCTGTCATGGCGTTTTCTCTGGCGTTTCCAGCGGTCTTGATCGACCAAGCACTTCATACCTCGTATTCGAGACATTGATTGCTCGCCTTTGATTCTTTTTAGTGCCATCGAATGTGAGATGCCCATTAACGGTTGATTTGGATTTGGCCTTGTGTCGAGGATGACAAGCTGTTTGTCTGTTTTGATCTTCGTTGCAGTTAAACTTGCCTTTGCTATGCCGGAAGCTGCTCTTACACAGCAGCCATTGCACAAGATCACCAGACCCATGACCACAACTACTCCCTTGCCAACCCTAACCAGCTGTCCAAGCCTTGGGAGACGACAGGACAGCTCATACCCCACAATATGTGGTTACAGCAATGGCATTCGCCAAGCCGCTCGGACCGCAGAGCCTGGATGGGCTTGTACCACAGATGTCGTCCACGGCATGTGGGGCTTTTGTCAGACGTCGGTGTATGCGGCAGGGCAATGTACGTTGGGAGGCAACTGTGTTGACGAATTTGCGTGCACAACTGGCTGTGGGAGGGTCGGAGACACTTCCCTCAGGACCTTTACGTGGTGAGCAGACACTCGTGCGGGTGACTCCTGGCTTCTCTCGAACAGAGTTTGGTCTGAGAATCGGGGGTACCATGCTTCGCCAGATCTCGCGCTGATTGTTGTTTTCAGCTCCACCAGTCAATACTGCACGGATGCTCTGTTGACAGTCGAGCCGTCTCAAGTATATCTTTACAAGGGCTGTGGAGACTACCCAGCGACCGATCTACTCCAGGCTACATTCAGCATCACATCTCAACGTACTTCGTCTACAATATCACGACAGGTCACGTCGGCAATATCAACTATACCACCGCTTTCAACACCATCCACAGCTGCCGAAGAATCCGCTTCCTCTACCACATCTGTCACATCCCCGGCTAGTCCGTCCTCGGTCAGCTTACCGGAGCAGCAAAATAACAATGGAGCTATCGTTGGAGGAGTCGTAGGTGGAGTTGCACTCATTTTTTTCATGGTTTTGGCAGTGCTTTGGATTCGGAAACGGAAGGGCGGTAATGCACAAGTGCCAGCCTATTCTGAGCAAAAGCCGGTTTGGGCCCACGAGCTGCCGCCTTGATATGCGGGAAAGTTGTTTGAGAGAACTGGCCGGCGGTTTGCGTGAGGATTTCCCAGCCAAAACCACATTCCGTCCACTATGTGCAGGAGGCACCTGACGATCCCCAGAATCTTAAGGCCCCCCTTAGAGCTCCTAGTAAGATACTAGGGGCGGCGTTTACAGTACCTTATACGCTATGAGGGGATTTCCAGCTCCTCACAGGCTAAATTGAACAAAGTGGCTTTCGGATATAGGATCCGTCGAGGGCTTGTTAGAGGCTCTTGTACGGCTTCCATCAATGTATCATCCTTTACATTGATGGAGCCATTTGAGTGCTCTAGGTTAGCTGAGGAACTATGCGAGGCCTGGTCGCCAATTGCTATTCTGCCAAGCGCCACAGGATATGTTCAATCTGTGAATCCAGAATCCAGAATCCTGAATCCAGATTCAGAAAGAGGATCCTTGACGTGTGAGAGACGACACTATTGGCTGCAGCATTAGCCTCAGCAGTGACCTTGGTAAAGTTCTAGGTTACTACTAATCAACCGACAACGCGAAGGATTCAAGTGGCTGGCAGTGCAAGGCAATGTACACGTGGAGCTCGTCTTTGATTGGCTGGCAGAATTCATCTCCCCCTTAACCATCTTGACAAGGCCGTTTGGAAATATTCGGCTCAGTTTGGGGCCCCCGTACGGAGTACGACGTCCTGAACTTGGTGATGACTACGCAGGCATAACCTTTGACTTGTTTTCGTCATGGCACAGGAGGCCATCTTCAATGTCATAAGAGCCAGTTGTCGCCATCCACGCCATCAACCTAAGCTGATGCCGAAACCCATCACCCATTCAGCGCGTATCCCGTTGGCAGCAGTCTAGATTACAGCATTCCCTGCTAATTACGTGCCCATCATGTACGCAATGTTTCTCTGTGCATTGTTACTAGCTATTCCCCATGGCACACTGGGCCAGGCAGACTATCTGGCAAATGCAGAGACGGCCGCCGCTCCTCTGCTGTTCAAGCTGTACAATATGAGCAGTGGCCTCTGGGACACCACCGGCTGGTGGCAAAGCTCCAATACCATGACCACGTTAGGAGACCTCGCTGCTATAGACCCGAATGCAGAAGACTCTGTCAGCGCCATATTTGCCAACACTCATGTGCAGGCTCCAAATACTCACCGGGATTTTCTGAACGACTTCTACGACGATGAGGGTTGGTGGGCGCTAGGCTGGATCAATGCACACGACATCACTCAGGAACCAGAGTACCTCCAAACCGCGGTCGACATCTTTGAGGACATGACTGGCGGATGGGGCACTCCTTGTGGTGGCATCTGGTGGGACAAGGCCCATACTCAGGTCGTCGCTATCGCCAATGAGCTCTTCTTCAGCGTGGCTGCCTCCCTAGCCAATCGCAAGCCGGATGAGCGTGACTACTATCTCGACTGGGCGCAGAGGTCACGCGACTGGTTCGAGAAGAGCGGCTTGGTCAATGCGCAGGGTGTGGTCAACGATGACCTTGCCTTGGCCACATGCAAGAACCCCGGGGATACTGTTTGGTCCTACAACCAGGGCGTCATTCTGGGTGCATACGTCGAGCTCGCTAAAGCCGATGCCAATGAGGCTCATCTCACAGCCGCCTCTTCTATTGCCACCGCCACTATCGCCAACCTCACCGACGCTAACCAAATCCTTCATGACGTCTGTGAACCAAATTGCGACGTCACCGCCGCCCAGTTCAAAGGCGTCTTCATGCGCAACCTCCGAATCTTGCACAACGCTGCCCCCCGAGCCGAGTTCGCCACCTTCATCAACAAGAACGCGGACAGTATCTGGGCCAACAACCGCATCACCTCTGGCTCCGACACCCTGTTGGGTCATGTCTGGTCCGGTCCGTTCATCCCACCAGCCAACGCGACGACGCAGAGTTCCGCTCTCGACGCCCTGGTGGCTGCAGCATCAATTGCACAATGACGGTCAAGCAGTGCTCCCACCAACAGTAGCGCTCCCCCTGTGAGCAGCAGCAGCAACAACAGCAGCAGCCCCCAGCATTCTGTCTGTGCTCGGTCATTCGAGCTCCGGCCCTGGATCTGGCTTCCACTTTCAGTTCTCGTCTCTGGGTCCCTCTGCCATTATTTCTGAGAAGGGCCCAGGCAAGATCTGCAGTCGCTGTCTCGCTGCTGCTACGTGTATGCTGGCAGGCAAAGATGTGGTGCCTCGGACATGATTGGAATCCCTCCACCAAGTCCGTTCGGTAGCACATAATCTGTGGGCCAACATCCTACCTGCCTCACGCCCTGAGTTCTATTGGGGAGCACTGCAATTTATCGTCAGAAATCTGTACGAGTAGCTCAAGCATTGGCGATAGTAGTCCGCCATATCTGTACAGGTAATCACCTTCCATGATCCATTGGGCGTTTTCACCCCTGGTTTTTTATACCCATAGAATAGATCCAGCTGCTCGACCCGTATCAATAGACCAGATAACACTCCGTCAGGGACAAACTGTTTTCTTAGACGAGCTTGGGAAAATCGAGGGAGAAATGTTACAAAGCCAGCTGGAAATAATCTAGCATGCCAGATTATTTATTTACTTTTCATTTCCTTGCATATGCCTTTCTGCGCAGATAAGAAAAATGAAAAATGAAAACTGAAAAATGAGGATGACACTCGTGTGACCCCATCGACGCCGCGTCGATTGACCATTTCGAGCTGTTGTAGTTACTATTTATTCAGTATCAGGGTCAGGAGGAGACCCAGCCCATAGTTACCTCGAAAAGCGCACAGAAAAGCCCCGGGGGAGGGGGGGGCCCTTGGCTACACTGATAAAGTACTGAGTATATCTATGGCAGCATGTTCTTCCCCACACAGACAACATTTACTGTAGCAAACGACATGGCCGGCCGGGGCGCACCAGTCCCAATTATAGTCTATAATTAATTAAGAAATCAACCGGATCCATATAGATGTCAACCTTGATGGCCGGTGGGAGTAGCGTCATGAATCGGTGTTGGATCTCCGTTAGGATGACAGTGCGGGCGACTCGATCGAGCCCTGCTTGCTTCCTCGCGAGCACCGGTGCAGCGAGGTGCGCAATTCATGAATTACGTTCCGATAGCAAGCAGAGAGGGATGCGTGAAGGGGTGGCATAAGTGAGCCGCTCCACAATGGTACACGATGATTTCTGACCTCGAAACAGGTCATGTTAAGAGCTATTGCAAGAGCTGGCTACAGGTGTCTATCGACTTTGACCGTGAGAAATCCCTTACCTCCCCGGGACATATCGATCAATCGGTACAGCGGTTCGTCGTCTTTCGCTATCTCTATTGTCACCGCCTTCGCGTCGGTCACGATACCGTTCCTCTCGACCTCGCCTGTGAGGACTGCGGCTGCGCTCTCTGTCTCGTTCGCCATCACGGTCACGGTCACGATCACGATCTCGGTCTCGGTCTCGATCCCGTGTCCGCTCATGAGACCTATAGCTTTCGCCATCTCGTCTTCGGTCCTTGTAATCGTCACGCTCCGTTTCACGGTCTCGCCTCCGCTCTTTGTAGTCGTCACGGTCTCTTTCGCGCTCTCTATCATGATCTCGTTCGCGGTACTTTGGTCTCTCCTTGTCTCGATCCGTTTCAACCTCCTTTGAGCGTGAGCCGCGATGGATGCCACCTCCAGGCACGTATCGATCGATGTTGAAGGGTGATGCCGACCTCAGGATCCGAGACCTTTTCGCTTCCTCCCTCTCGTCACGATCTCGATAGCTGTGTCGCCTGTCCCGGTCGTCATCGCGATAGCTCCTGCGGTGGCTAGAAGATGGCGATTTCGCCTCTTGAAGGTACTCCCCTTCCTCCCGGGTCTTGCTTTGACTACCATGACTGCCAGCAACACTCGCAGCATCAGCTTGACTCTCGCCTTTCAAGTATGCCTTTGCTTCTTTCTCGCGCTCCTGCCGTTCTTTCTGTTTTTGATACTCAATCTCTGCGCGACGTTCATCATCAGTCCTCGAAGATCTATGTCGGTCTCTGGATCGACTGCGACTTCGTTTTCGGTCTCTCTTATCATCGTACGTATCTCTACGCTTGCTGTCTCGTTCTCTGGATCTGTCGGTTCGCCTGAGACGCTCGACCATAGCTGCTTTGCGCCCGCTTGACTCGGCAGCCTCGGCTCTTTCGAAGTCAAATTCGTGCTTGGGCCGTGATTTGCCTGCGAGCGCCTTGCTTTCATTTAAAAGCAGCTCCAAAGCAATGTCGTCCAAAGCTTTCTCATCAAGTGGTGCACCATCACTGGCGCTCTTGTCCTTAGGTGTAGCTGCATTCGAATTCTTCCGTTCATCAACGTATCGGCTGCTGTGGTAAGGGGAATCTCTGTGACTTCGGTCACGTAGCCTGTCCCGTCCTCGATCTCGATCTCGATCCCTTTCTCGTTCGCGATCGCGCTCTCGCTCTCGCTCTCTTTCTTCCCGCCTACGCCGATAATCTTCCTCTCGTGCCTCTTCTTCCTCCCTCCTCCGCCTCCGACGCTCTTCTCGCTCCTTCTCACGCTGCTCCTCATATTTCCTTTCCTCTTCGCGTCTTCTCTCTCGGTCGAGTCTTCTACGTTCCTCCTCTGCCTCCCTTTTTTTCCTATCCTCTTCCTCCTTCTTCTTCTGCGCCTCTCTACGTTTCTTCTCCTCAGCCTCCATCAGCTTCCTCTTGATCTCCTCCATCTGCCTATCCAAGTCTGCCAGCTTTGCACGATTCTTCTCCCTCTCAGCAGCCTTTGCCTCAAACTCCTTTGCGTAATCTTCGTCAGTCTTGCTCCCTATGCGCTCTTCTTCTGCAGCTTTCTCCTCTCCAACTTCAGCCTTCCGGATCGATCGTAGAATTTCCAAGTAATGGTCGACATGCATAGTAAGCAGTTGATCAATTTCGGACTCGACATCTTTGTAAACGCCTCTTCGATCGACAGCGCCTTCAATCAACGTGGCAGCCGTGCCGCGTTCGCGACTGAGGATTTTAGGATCCTGGTCAACTTCCGCTTCAGCGGCTTCATGGATGCGAGAGGTGAGGTTTTTCTTCCCGTCCGAAGAAGTAAACTCAGCCCATATCTTCTTGCGAAGACTATCAAATCCGCCCTTCTTCTTGAATGCGTAGTTGAGATTGTCAATCGCTATGCGTTTGTCTCTAGCAACAGGGAGCTCGGAGAGCTTAAAACGAGGGCGTATGATGGAAGGAGGAGGTGTCGGCAATCCCGTGACAACTGTATCAGGCATATCATGTGCTTCGACGACCGTCAGAGCGGAGACAAGATCGAGGATATGTGCTGTCGGTGGACCAAGATCATAATGTCTTTGACAATAATTTGTACTCCCTAGTTACAGTACTGCAAAGAATTCGCGACCGTCGCTCGAAAGTCAGTCAGGCTCGGCAAAACCTTCTTTAGGCGGTACTTCAACCTTAGGCTTCCAATGCGAGTAATGATTTGAGCTCATCCCACAACATCCAGGCCCAAGTACACGTGAGAAGCGAGATCTATTCCGCGAGAATCTACCATATTCACCCTGTGAACACCTGAAACATTGTCACCCTTCACCCGCGCACAAGTGGTGCGCTTCTCTAACAGCCATGGTGCATAAAATTCTCTTCTGGGCCGGCTTCGGTACGTTTGCTTTTCTATGCAAAGAGTCCTTCTTGGTTCCTTCCTTACTGATGCCCGTCTACAGGCATTGCGACGCGACTTCTACAGCTCGGCATTGAGATGCGCCCACTGTTTCAGCGAGGTTCTTTGTGGGTTTACACTCTTTTTGCGGGTGTGGGAGGCTCCTTCGGCTATTGGATGAAGGGCGTGGAAGATCGACAACTAAAGATGTTACAGCAGAGAAAAGAGATATTAATAGAGAAAAGGAGGAGGAGGGCCGAACGGGAAGCGGTCGAGGGAGGACTGAACCTGGTGCAACCGGCCGTGGAGGCAGCGCCGGCAGAAACGGCTGGGGTTCTTGCTGCCACGAGTTGAGGGAGTACTTCGGAGAAGAGAGTTCTGCACAGCTTGCAGGTCACAGCACGCATAGGGAGAATGTAGATGGCTACCTTGTACAAAGATTACGAGCGCATGAATGAATGGTGAGCAGGAGGGTAATCCTTCACTCCATGGCCTTGCGGACAACAACAGAAGCTTTACAACGACCCAATGCTTCTCATGTCAATTAAGCTCTAGAAATCTTCGTGTCCCTCTTCGGGCCAAAGTACTGAGCCATGGACTTTGATGGGTTCAGGGTGTCAAACACGTCCAAGACAGCAGCCGGAATCAGTTCTGTGGTTGCTTTTGAGTGTTACCAATACTACTGGATGTCTTATTTCAGCCCCAAGCCAACCACAGGAGTCGCTTCTCTATTCTTCTGAGCATCTTGGCCTGCAACTCCAGCCACCGGCTTATCGCCCAAACCTTTGCTGATCACCTCGTGGAAGTCAAGCCCGACACTCTTCAGTGCTTCTTCATGCTCCCCAATCAGTAGCAGGCACTCGTTCCATACTGTACCACCTCTTTCCACGCTGCTGAGCTGCCTTACCAAGGTGACATTTAGCTGCTCCAAATGTTCTTTGGCCCACTTGATACAAGCGCTCATCATCAAGGGCGGAAAACAGGCCTGATAAATGCTGACAGTATTTTTGACAATTGTGAAGTATACAAATGATACCTGAAATATGTATTTGTGAAGGTCACCTTCAAAGACACATTGACGGGCACGCTTGATGAGGGTGTCTGTACGAGCCTGTAGGTAAGCTTCGCGAGCGCGGTCCTCAAAGCCGAGCCGGCTGAGCCACGATGTGTGCGCTTTGGTGGCTTCCAAAAACGAGGGCGTGTCAATCAGAGCACGGGTAAGGGTTGCGGCAAGCTTGGAGGCCCGTTCATCAACCTTCAGCAGAATTAGATCTTGCGCAACAGCATTGCCTTTGAGACCTCTGGCGAGTTTGCGTAAACGTTCGATCTTGGCAACAGCTGATTCGAAACGCCGCAGGGCGATGTCGATATCAAGATCATCGATTTGGCCCTCGACCCATCGTAGATTCTGCTGCCTTCCATCCACATCTATCAGAACCTCTGGTTTCTCTCGTGATGAGTTTATGGTGTCCATGATCTCTGTCTTCTTCGCTGGAGCTAGATCACGGGAGGCGAAGTAGTTCAAAGCATCTGTTGGGGTGCTACCCTTTTCAGTCTCGGATCTCGCTGATCTCCGCAATTCTTCCACCGTCTTGCGAAATGTCAAAAGCAGGTCGTTCTTGGCTGACTCATTCTTTTGGTCATGACGATATGTGAAGGACTTACTGGCGGTCCGAATATTAATGGCAGTACCAATGTTGCGCTCGTCCACGATGCCATCAGCTCCACCCTGTGTGAGATTTGCTCCTAAATCGACAAGATCGATTTCTTGTAATGGCCAGCATTCTTCGGCAACTAGCTTGGTAGGTGCTGGACCTTTCTGAGGACTGTTCGGGTCCATTCGTTTCCGCTTCTTGGAGGCGACCAGCAAATGATCGTTGAGCAGAACAATATGGACGGGCCTCTTAGGCTTCCAGGTAGCCGAGTCCAGTTCAACCCAATGAGGTGTTTCAAGGACGATATGTCTGCCTGGAATGGCAGGGAGGAATTTCTGTGATCTTTCGACATTCTTCCACAATGTCTGAAGCTGTACATTCCACATACTCTCCAGATTGGCCACAGAGCTTCGATTTGCATTTCTTCTGGAAGACATGCGCTCATTGGGTGTAGGCGATTTCATGCCATTGAGGGTGTTCCCATTTGCTTGCCCAAGTGCCCCTGTCAATTCAGACATCAATCCACGCAATGTATCGATTTCTCCTTTGAGCTTCTCGGCCTCCTTACTAATCTTGATAAATTGCGTGCGATTCTGGTACACATTCTGCTGTAGGTCTGTTAACGTCCGATCCTTGATCTTCCTCAAGCTATTCTGGTAATCTCGAATGTCTTGCTCAGAGGCGGTGGAGAGTAAATCAGTGATATCTGTTCGGACGTCAGCGCATTTTCCGGGTTTTAGACTGGTTCCCCTCACATTGTTCCGGCTGCAGATTTGAATCTCTTAAGGCCCCGATATCAACTCGAATTGGTTGCGCGCTTTCTGATGTTCCCGGTCGACCTGCCGATCGTGGTCTTGACCACCTCTTGGGTACTCCAGGCTGCCCAGGTAGGCTCGGTACGGGTGGGGCATTCGTGAAGTCTGGCAACTGGTTGAAGCGCGTTGAGTAACGCCTCTTCACCAGGTCCGAAGTCGCTGCCGACTGCTGATTTTTCTCGCGAGGCACGGCAATGGACCTTCCAGATGTACTGGGTGCTTGCTTTGAAGGAATAGGTCCTGATATCTCTTGCACTTTTGGTCGCCTTCCACCTTTCCTCCGCAACGTCAATCCAATGCCATCACTCATGTTGGACACTCTGCACGAAAGTGGTGTAGGAACGACAGAGTGCGGTCAAAGGTAGGGAGTGAGGAGGTATTTCGAAGATCATGGTGGTGATGGCAGAAGTCTAAGCTTCTGCGGAACTTGCCGCAAGATCTACCGGATTACATACATACCTATGCGTAGTACGGAGTAGGTGAAATTTATCCGGGACGCATCCAAAGTTCACCCATTCAGATCGATAATCTGAGCCTGATCTCCGATCTTTACCTCTTGGGTTGGACTCTGTACCCACAAGAGATATATCTGTCATTTCCTAGTCGACCTCATCTGTATCACGTGCGCCCTGGCGACTTGTCATGATGAAGACATCCACTGCCATTGCCCTGACAGTCGGTACAGTTGTCACAGGCATTCTTGGTATGTTTTCTCTATCCTAAGTATGATCATGGAGGCAATGTTGGCAGATATCGGAACATTCACCTTGGGTTGCCCGGCTAATGTCTAATCAGCATATGCTGTCTACTTCGATCACAAGCGGCGGACCGATCCAGAATTTAGGAAAGCATTAAAGAGAGATGCAAGGAGACAAGCAAGAATGGCAAAGGAGGCAAAGGAGGTGGAGGGCAAACAGCAAAAAGAGGCTATCAAACGAGCTGTTGAAGAGGCGCAAGAAGAAGGGTTTCCTTCGGACATCGAGGAGAGAGAAGCGTTCTTCATGAAGGAAGTTGGTGAAGGAGAAGCGCGTAACGGAGAAGGTATGAAGATGTAACTGTGAGAGAGCATGTAGCTAACATTCAGGAGGCTCCGACCCAGTTGGCGCAGCCCTGTGCTTTTACAAAGCGTTGAAAGTCTATCCCGAGCCCAAGACTCTCATCAATATCTACGAAAACACAGTTTCAAAAGACGTTCTCGAGATACTGGCAGTTATGTGTACGCAAGACAAGGACTTGAATAACAAAATTGGTGGCAGCGCTTCAGGGTCAGAAAGTGGACATGGTGTGGAATAGCCGATCGATTACTGCCCTTACGGAATTACCTCTTAGGAGACGACTCCATCCATACGACTGCGAAGATTCGGCTCATTCCTACCAGTCATCACAACGACACTCCACTTCTGTACATAACGTGTATACCAATCTAGCATGGGCCAAGTCAAGCGCTTGGAATAGGTGCCTCACAAACTGGAGCATTGGGCGATGGTGGGCTGCGGAGTCCTCGAATTACGGTAGATTGCGAATAGTACTGCCCCTTCGCCTTCTCTGATAACAAGACCCTGAAGACTTTAACGGTTACAGCTTCAGCTCCAATGTGATTTCAGCATCAAGATGATTCACCAATACCCAGATGCTAGACACTGTCCCTTGTTCTAAAGCGAGATGAAGTTTTCTCGAGTTGCTGCTGCCTTTAGTGCGGCCATATGACACAGCTCGTGCAAGAGTGACAGAATCTCTGCCGCTTTTCGCTGCTGATTGGTGGGTGAGTGTTGTAAACTTGCCATGCTGTAGAAGCGCTCGCAGCCTTGGTATCTTAATATCTTACGCATCCGTGTCAAGGGTTCATAATTGAAGCACGAATGTCCGGCCGAGATCATCATGGCAACGGCTTGGCTAGCAAATTACAGTATTGTAATCACATGGCATGACTGGCAGGGGCAAAAGCCAAGCAAATCCCAATCTCCAGTCTGGCTCCTGAGTCCTAGAAGATCATTCAAGTCTGCGCTTTCCACTTCAATTCACTCAGCAACTTCCTTCAGTCACTCGTTATAGCACCTTCTGCTTTTGCATTTGCTTCTGCCTCTTATTTCACAGGAAATTCCACTCTTAATACTGTTTTCCTCATCACTCGCTAGATTCTACCTTTCAACTTCAACTTCACTTCATCACTGCCCTTGACAAGCTCATTTACTATTGAAGCATAGCCATGGCACCAGTAAGTAGAGCAGCTCAAAAATACCTGTGGGTTCTGGTCCTGACGCTGTAGCAGATGAAAACGGCTTTGTTCAGTCTCGCCACACTCCTCCTTCCCAGCGTTGTTCAGGCAGTACAGCCAATAGAGGTTCAGGGCTCCGAGTTTATCAACAGCGTCAGCGGAAAGCGATTTCAAATGATTGGAGTAGCGTAAGAATATATTGAGACAAGGACAGGGTATGGCTGATGGGCAGCTTCTAGCTACCAACCTGGTGGATCTTCCGGTTTCAATCCTGAGGCAGGCACCGATCCGTTGAGTGATGCCAACATTTGCCGACGTGATGCTGCGCTCATGCAAAGACTTGGTGTAAGTACTGTGATGCCTGAAACATGCGCCCCCTGACCCTCGTTCAAGGTCAATACGCTCCGCGTCTACAACCTGAATCCCGACGTCAATCACGACGAATGTGCTTCAATCTTCAACGCTGCTGGTATCTACATGATCCTGGATGTCAACAGCCCGCTTCCCAACCAATCTTTGAATCGAGGCGCACCTTGGGAGAGCTACAGCTCAGACTACCTGGCCCGTGTGTTCCAAGTCGTGGAGAACTTTAAAGCGTTTCCCAATTTACTAGGGTTCTTCAGCGGCAACGAGGTCATCAATGAAGAGAGCGTGGTAGAGGTCCCTGGATACATTCGAGCTGTCACCCGTGACTTGAAGGATTACATCGCCAAGCAAGCAGACCGACCAATTCCCGTTGGCTATTCCGCCGCAGACGTACGCCCTATGCTCCCTGATACCGCAGCCTATCTGAGTTGCGCGATTGCGGAAGAAGCATCGTCCAAGATTGATCTCTTTGGCCTCAACTCATACTCTTGGTGTGGCGACGCGTCTTTCGACTCGTCCGGTTACGACACTCTGGTCGCCGACTTCAACGCCACCACCATCCCGATCTTCTTCTCCGAGTACGGCTGCATTGAAGTCAAGCCACGTCTCTTCACCGAGGTCGCTGCCCTGTACAGCGACCAGATGACTGGTGTCTTCTCCGGCGGCTTGATATATGAGTATACCCAAGAAGAGAATAACTATGGGTTGGTTGAGTTCAATGATAACAACACCGCGTCGCTGCTTGGTGACTATGACACTCTGCAAAGGCAGTTTGCAGCGCTTGACTTTACCAAAATTCAATCTGCAGATGCTTCTGCAACGGCATTGACCCCGGAACCCTGCTCTGCTGAGCTCATCACGGGCGCAGCTGGCAACTTCAGTACCAACTTTACTCTGCCTTCCCGTCCATCGGGCGTTGACGACATGATCAACAACGGCGTCCCAAATGCCAAGACAGGCAGGCTGGTGGAAGTCACAGAAACGAGCGTCGGTGAAACTGTATACGACTCCAGCGGCAACCCAATCCAAGGGCTGGCTGTCAACGTGCTTGCCGATGATCAAAGCAATACTCCTGGATCGGCAACTGGCTCCTCAAGCGGCGCAAATCCCAGCCAGACCGGCGCAGCTCCTCGAGGTGGCTGGATGGACTCAGCAGTCCTGATAGTAGGTGCCTTGACGTTGCTTGCTGCCCTGAGTGTCTAGACAGTTGCAGGGAAGTGCGGAATGCCCCTTGACGATCCGTGGGAGGCCCATCGTGGAGTTTTCTCCTACTTGAAGCTGCGACAGCTTGTTTCTGTTATCTCTATTCCATGTACATGGTTCACACTTTTGGCGTGATAGACCTGTGCTTCCAAATTTTTCAAACAGAAGATTGAACTGTTCTTGAAAGAGGCGCAGTACTCTATAGAATACTATGTATGCTCTGTGTCCTCAAATCAAGCAATTTTCTCTCCCTTTACATGGTGAAATCGTATAAAAGATGATAGGCATATCATGAACCGCGGCTCGGTTTCGGAATATTCTTGGAAGAAAAACAGGGCTACTTACCCCACGGCACTCCACCTTGAAACTTGGAGATGGAGGGGCATATGGGGCAATCCTTTTGTTGCCAGACGGGATAGGTTACAACTTCATTCGACATTTTCAGGTGTGACCACTCTCTCGGAAGTGTAGGTGCACCAAACTATGTGTCATCATCTCACAATATCACCTGCTCACTATTTGTCCGAAGGAGAGACATGTCTGGAGAGTTGCTGTGCAAGGCGGCTACGGAATACCTCTTGCGAGCCTAACATGGAGCATGACCCCCCAGATCATTCCCTGGCACCTTTCTAGAAGTCGTAAACATAAAGTACGGACCATTAGTGGCTTTAATCAGTCAACCTTCCTGCTTCTCCAACACGTATGCCAATTAGTCTCGGGAGCACGGCAGCTATGTCGCGAGCACGGCAGCTATGTCGCCCCTCCACCCCAGCAGTTGTTCTACCGCCTCCCCCAGATCATGAGAATTGTCTCGATGGGGCTATACGCTATAAATCAATTGGGTCATGATCGACAGTGAATGGCTCGGGTCATAGGAGGCAACATGGTGCATGTCCCAGGATGTGGTCCCATGCTACCCCGCCGTCCCTGTTCAGCCATGGCAATAAACACAAAACCCTTTCTGCCGCTTCCCTCGGCACTTGCCTACTCTGTTCTTTCTAAAAGAACCATTCAACGGGAAGACCTGTTCTTCCTCTTTTACCTCCAACAATTCCTCCTCCATCCCAACATCCAGTCATCACCATCATGTCGCTAACCACCAAGATCGAAACCCCGTCCGTCACCTACGAGCAACCTATTGGCTTGTACATTGACGGCCAGTGGGTGAAAGGAAAGGAGGGAAAAACTTTTGAGACCATCAATCCTACGAATGAGAAGCCTATTGTGGCAGTTCATGAAGCTGGCCCGGATGGTATGAAACTGCATCATTTGGGAGTCTCAGGTCACTTCAACTGACACCCCTATCAGATGTCGATATTGCTGTGTCTGCTGCACGAAAAGCCCTCAATGGCGTCTGGGCTGAGACCCTTCCGTCAGCGCGAGGTCAAATGCTCATGAAGTTGGCCGACCTCTTTGACGAGCACGTTGATACTCTTGCTGCAATTGAATCACTTGACAATGGCAAGGCTCTATCGATGGCTAAAGTCGATGTTGGTCTTTCGTCTGGCTGTTTGAGATATTATGGTGGATGGGCAGACAAGATTCACGGAAAAGTTATTGATACTGATCCTGAAACGTTTAACTACACTAGACATGAGCCAGTTGGCGTCTGCGGCCAGATTATTCCGTGGAATTTCCCTCTCCTGATGTGGGCATGGAAGATTGGGCCTGCTTTGGCTACAGGCAACACTGTTGTCTTGAAGACTGCTGAGCAGACACCTCTGTCTGCCCTGTATGCTGCTACTCTCTGCGAGAAAGCTGGTATCCCAGCTGGTGTGGTAAATATTCTTTCTGGATTTGGCAAGACTGCTGGTGCCGGTAAGCTCATATCCTCCTATTTCCGCTCACTTCTAACGTATAGCCAGCCATCGCTTCGCACATGGGTATTGATAAGGTCGCTTTCACTGGCTCCACCGTGGTTGGCCGCACCATCCTCCAGGCCGCTGCTAAGTCGAACCTCAAGAAGGTCACCCTTGAGCTTGGCGGCAAATCACCAAACATCGTCTTCAACGATGCCAATATCGAAGACGCCATATCGTGGGTCAATTTCGGTATCTTCTTCAACCACGGACAATGCTGCTCTGCTGGCTCCAGGATCTACGTCCAGGAGGGCATTTACGACGAATTTATCGAGAAATTCAAGGCACGAACAGCAAAGAACGTTGTCGGTGATCCATTCGCTAAGGACACTTTCCAAGGTCCTCAAGTCAGCCAGCTACAGTATGACCGCATCATGGCCTACATCAAGGCTGGGAAGGATGCCGGCGCTAAAGTCGAGACTGGTGGCGAACGACACGGTGACAAGGGCTATTTCATCCAGCCCACCATCTTCTCTGGAGTCAGCGATGACATGAAGATCATGCAAGAAGAAATCTTCGGTCCTGTGTGCTCCATCAGCAAATTTAAGACGGAAGATGAAGCCATCAAGGCTGGTAATGAGACGACCTACGGTCTCGCGGCTGCAGTTCATACCACAGATCTCAACACTGCTATCCGAGTCAGCAACAAGCTGAAAGCTGGAACTGTCTGGGTTAACAGTTATAATTTGCTGAGCCACCAGGTGCCATTTGGTGGCTTCAAGGAGAGCGGTATTGGACGGGAACTAGGCAAATATGCTCTGGCGAATTATACTCAGGTCAAGTCGGTGAGGATGAGACTTGGTTCGGCTCTCTTTGGCTAAAGCAACTGGCTAGCCAACATCTTTGGTACCCATGTACGTTATTTGTTAGTCTTGCGGACACGAAGCAAGGAGAACAAATCCGAATACCAGAGGTATGACTTGCACAATAAAATGTACTTGGTCAGCTCGAAAGCTGACTTGAAGAAGTCTCTGTCCCTACCTAGTTCAACCCAAATCACACAAAACCTCTTTCCATTACTCAATATCATGCGTTCTGGTTCCCTTCCATGGCGCTGAGCATAAATTTGCCTTAACCGCCCCAGCTCCTGGCAACCCATTAACCCCTTAATGAACCAGGAGGAGTGGCCTGGCACGAACCTTGGGTGATTTGGGGGTTTTTGATTCACTGTTTCCCAAGCGGAGAAGACATCAAGAGGGTTTCTAGTTTGCGGCGGTCACCAACAGGCTTGTTTTTTGGAGCTTGAATAGCAAACTGACTCAGTACCGCATTTATAGGGTGTCTCCCACTAAAAGGCAAAAGGCAATCTCTATACATGGACGACCTACAAAAAATACTTAGTAGCCATCCACTTCCCCAGTAGCTACTGATTTGGAGGCCGCTATAATTATCACAAGCCATTTCTATACCATGTTTACGCGAACATCAAGTAAGCATTATCATCATCGTCATTCCAGTGATGCATCTAGAAACCCTCACCACCTTTCCTCTCCTTTCCTCTCCTTTCCTCTCCTTTCATCCCCGCCCCCTGCTCCACCAAGCCAATCTCACGCAACCCCCATCACAACCTCGCCTTGCCCTCGACCAGAAACTCGCGGGGAATCGGCACGACGCGTGCACGGATGAACTCGGCAACGTTCTTGCCCAGGAAATCCACGCTCGATGTCGCTCCCACGCCTCGGTCTAACAGGTTTCGGCATAAGAAATGCACCGCCCTCGCGTTTGGTAGCTCGAAGCGCTCAATCTTCACCTTTTCGGGATTGTACTCTTTCCCGAGGAGCTGGGTGAGGGTGGCGGTGGAGAGGAAAGTGCGCAGCCAGGGATAGACATGGGCATGCGGGGTCCAGAGTCCGACGTTGCAGTCTGGTCCTTTGTCGCCGGAGCGGGCGTGGATGAGGGTTCCTAGAGGGAGGAGGGTGCAGTCTGAGGGCGCTGGAAGGGGGATTGGGTTGCTGGTTTCGGGTTGGTTGGTTTGGGTCCCGTTGTGGGGAGGGGAGGTTTGCGTGTTTGTTGGGGGTGGGATTTCGAGCTCGGCCCTTGGGATTATTGTTGGGTCGGTGCAAGGCAGGTGGACGATGTGTTTGATTTCTGATTGAGGGAGCAAAGTGACGTAATACTCGTAATATGGTTTCGGAAGACCGAGCCGGAAGTCTAGATGGAATGTTGCGCCTGGGTAGCCTTGCATGATGTTGTCAATTATCGGGCGGAGGAATTTCTGCGGCGTCAAATCCTCGACCTTGCGGGTCTGGGCGAAGACACGGAAAACAACCGTTGCTGCGTTTTGGGAGTCGGCATCTGGCTCCGGGGTGCCGAGGGTAGAGAAGGAGAGGAGAGAGAACTTGTCTGAGTAGGGGGCGAGCACGTGCCGTAATTGGGCCTCCAGCATTCTGGCCTTCTCGGGGATGTCGAGACCGGTTAAGAACCAGTGTACTTCGGCTTGGAAGCCACCACGTGCTGTGATGCCAACTTTGGTAGTGGGTGGTGGTGGAAGAGATTTCACACCGTGCAAGGCAACGCGGTTGGTGGAAAGCTGCTCAAACCAGATTTCTGGCAAGACAGCTGTGACATCTGAGTTGAGATAGTAAGGACCTTGGATTTCGTAGAGTAGCTGTGAAGTGCATGTATCAACCGTGAGTGCACCTCCTGAAGACTTCTGCTTGGTTATGGTCACTGCACCGCTGGAGGAAATTTCAGCAATGGGATAGCCTATGTCTACCCACCCACCTGGTGAGTCTTCTAGCATTTTGAACCCGGAGAAGTTCCCGCCGCAGATGTAGTTGCTGCATTCGATGAGATGACCAGCGACGAAGGCATTGGCCAGTTTGTCCAGTTCATCACGCTGCCAGCCATGCCACCAATACGCTGCTCCAATAATGGGACTTGCATCGGAAACGCGTCCACAGAGGACGATACCAGCTCCGGCTCTGAGAGCGGCTGCGATTCCCAAGCCACCAAGATAGGCCTGCGCATAGATGGGCTCGAATGACCAGGAATTGAGGTTCTCGCCTGTGTAGATATTGTTGAATGTGCTCGTGCCAGCCTTGAGATCAGACATGATAGTAGGAAGAACCTCGTCTCCACTGATCCAGGCAATCCTCAGTTGAGAGGCTAGACCCTTCTTTTCGATCATGTCAAGGACAACCTTGTACAGGCCTTCGGTATCACTGGCACCGGCATTGACAACGACTTTGATTTCATACTTGGCCAGGTCATTCAAAGCTGGTTCCAGTGCTTCGAGAAAGGTAGCTTCAAAAGCCGGACCGGCAGCTGTGAGCGGATTCGCGTCCGGCGGTTTTGGCAAAGCAGAGTCAACTTTGCGGACTGCCGTGACAACCATGTTGGCTTCCGACATGTAATCTGAGATGATCACATCCACACGATCTGTGGGATAAGCCCTTGCGAACGCTGCAAGGGCATGACGACGGTCAGACGCCGAGCCAGATGCACCTGATATGCTTTGTCAGTCTGGCAGACTTGCTCTCGTTGGATCGAACCACTCTTCGATATCAAGCAGGGCCATACCAGCTATACGAATTGGGTGTCTCTCCTTCGAGGACATTGCAGATACTGGCAAAGCAAATCAAATACTCAATCAAAGGGATCGTACAGAAACCTGTACACAACAGCAAAGAAGCAGCACTTCCACATGAATGTCCTCGCTACATCGCTGCACAGACTAGCTTTCAGCGGCTTGAACGTACATGGACATGGTAGGATCCGATGCGGAGTGGTGGGGTGAATCCTTTAGGATTGAGGTTCGACTCCGAGCCCTCCGGCCCATGCAAAAAGGGGGTGGCTCGGCATCATCACGCATACATGTTTTGACTTTCCTCACCATTACTCCATTCAAGCCAGGGTCTGTCCTTGGAACAGGCCAAATGAGAAAGAAGACCTATCCATGCTATGGTCAGCTTATCAGGAGGCTGACCTAAGCGGCGAGCTATTAGAAATAATGTACTCCATCCAGCCCACACACATATAACTATGACCTGCAACGTGAAGGAGTAAGAATTCCTAAAGACTAACACCCAAATTCAACTTTAGAAGTGGCTCCTACTATGTAAGTAGCATTCCTACCCAGTTTCCAGTTCCATGTCGAATGGGCTCATGCTACGATCCATCTTTAACCACGATCCGACAAGCCTCTCCGTACTGCCAGCATTTGCGATGTTCTACGGAACACATGTCAATGAATAACCTACATTGAAGAAGCTTACGGTTAGGCCGTCACTCTATGATTGATTAGAACGCGATGGGTGGTACCGTCGCCTCCGTCTACTTGTGCCTCAGGTGCAGAGGAAGCGGTCATGTCGTGAACGAGTGCACTGAGCCATGGATGGACGATTCCTTACCGTGGTCCTTTTCTCCCTCTCGGAAGACGATTGACAGTGCAGAATTTTCAGATATGGTCAACCAGCCACTTTGCCAGCGTTGCCATGAGTTGAATTTGCTGGATTTCATCAAACAGGGCATACCATGGGAATCTATTTCGAATCTGACTGACACTGCATTGCGCGAAAGTGGATGCACCCAAAGTCTGGGGCAAACCGGCTCCATTTTATTTCGGCAGGATTGCTCTCTATGCTGCTGCTTGTTTGCAATGACGCCGAACCCTCACTCGCAAAAACAGGAAGTGACTATCTTTCCTGCCTGGACAATGACCCGTCTAGAGGGGATAGTGTCTATGGACACGGCTAAGAAACGTTTCTATGCGAGATGTTTGCTGGCGTCGTTAGACCCAGTTGACGAGACAAGCTCCATCGCTCAATTAGCCCAGTGTGGAGATGCTCTCTGCATCCTAGAAGACGACGAAACCGACTCTACCATAATGTTAACCGGCAGGCTCATCAGTTCCCAGCATATCAATATCGAATTGGTCAGGCAATGGTTATCGACGTGTGGTAGGCTGCATCCTATGACTTGTCGTCCGGTCTGGAAGGAAGAAATAAAGGACATCCTCCTTATTAATGTCGAGACACGGAGACTGGTTCGCTACCCTCCGAAACCCTGTCAGTATCTCGCTCTAAAGCTACGTGTGGGGTCACGTAAGCCAGCAAAGCCCCCAGGTTGGTGCTCGTCTGGGCAGCCTACCACAAACCATCGAAGATGCCGTGACTTTCACCCTACTACTCGGTAAACGCTACCTATGGGTCGATTCCGTGTGTATCGATCAAAACGACGAAGCAGAAAACCGTAAGCAGATCGCGAGAATGAGTACCATCTACCGAGGTGCTGACGCAACCATTGTGGCTTTGTCAGGTAAGGATGCCCAGGCCGGCCTCCCTAGGTTGTCATGGAGAAGTGCCGTATTCCCTCAACTTAAATGCTGGGTTGATGGAAAGCGACTTGTTGGACTCATGCCAACGCTTTGGCAACAAGTATGGTTCAGTACTTGGGGCTCCAGAGCTTGGACCCTACAGGAGGCAGTCCTATCTTCCCGCTGCCTTTACATCAGCGATCACCAAATGTACTTCGAATGTAGGGGAATGCAAGGCAACGAGTCTCTCAATGAAATCAGATCATGGGTCCAGCAAACCACTCGGGGTGCGCATTCCCGAAGAAATAGGCAACTGGTATCAAGGATGGGTGCTGGATTACTCAGTAGTCCTTTCATCGAGATCGCTCATGAGGAAACCCGACTAGAGAAATATACAGTCCTGGCTTATCTATATCGCTCTCGCAGGATGACGGACCCGGACGATGCACTTAATGCTTTTTCCGGGATCACACAGTATTTAACAGAAACCGTGTACAACAAAGGCTTCGTTTGGGGTCTCCCACTCGAGGATCTGAATTGGGCATGGTTGTGGAGCACAAAAGATCCATCAGTCAAACGACCGAGCTTTCCAACTTGGTCATGAGCTGCTTGGGGCGGTCCGTTGGCCCCAGCAGCTACCCCATTTAATCCCAAACGACCGAATTGCTTTCCCGTGTATCTAAAGTGTGGAGGCTAGACTTTCAGTAAAAACAACTAGGCTAGTCTTGAGCCTGCTATGCATAGCCGACAGCAATACCGAACAGGCTAACGCCATTTCTAAGGACGACCCTTTCACATATTTCATGGAGTCGAATTCAAGCAACGCCGATTTTGATCTCAGCCCGATCTCCACCTCGGAAAGCCACCAGTATCTCTTCATCCATGGTATTGTGTTTCAGCTCGTTCTTGATTGCAATTCGCCTCAAGGGCGTAAGTGTGACTTTTACATGTTTGAACGTTACGATATGTTCATGGCTAATGTCAATTGCTTGGTCACGATTGTGAGCACGGATCCGATAATTGAGGAGGCCGCTTTGCGGAACCCTGAGACTTTCCTCCTGGTGGCTCGAAATCAAATCAATAATTGGATGTATCTGCACCTGCTGGTATTGCGTCAAGAAGGGGGTATCTCGCAACGCAAGAGCGTGATCACCCTACAGATCCCGAAGGACAAACCTCACGTCCTGAAACACCTGGGAATAAGGAGGGAGAAAGTCACACTTGGATGAAAAGCAACAGGCCAGGGTTAAGCATTCAATCGTTCATCAAAATGTGTCTGCCAGCGAGATTAAGCCTCCCAGTTCGGCTTGATCACATTTAAAGCTTCTCAGCTCGGCAGCTTTGATGTCAAAGATCAAATTCACAGACGGCATTATAGAGTACTTATAGCTCTTTTCGAAGTTCGTTGAATTGCGACGTTGCGTCCTGACTTGCTCTAATCGAATATCACTCTAGCATGAGATGAGGGCCCAATTAGCAACATGAATTACGCATTTCTCCTTTAAGAATATCTCGACGTCCGACAAAGCGGTTTAAATAACCATCCCGAGAAGATCATACACAATATACTTCACAGTCATGAGGGAGGACGCGTATACTAATATTTTCGTTACATGGCTGCACAGATTATCCCTCAGCCGTGTCATATAGTGTACAGATATGTTGAATCAAGGTCATTTCGCTTCCTTTCAGGAAGCTTGTTCTCCGAATCGCCTGGTACGACTCTTGGGCCTAGATCAGAATAGCAAACATCAATCCTCCAGAGCAGTAAACCTTTGGGAGGGAACTTTTGGTTTTGAGAACACTGTTAAGGGTGGCTAAGGGGGCAGTGGTAGAATCTCCAATAGCACCTGTACGCCATTTTGGCGTGGTTCTGTTTGATACATGCTGATCACTGATACTGGGGTGATGGCAACAAGATTACAGGACAATAGAGGATGCTCCCACTTTCTCTATAGGGAACTGTAAAAACCACAACTTCTCTTAGAGATAGTTATGACGACAGGATGGGTTATTGACATACATAGTATAATTCTAGCTGTTTGATGCAAGATATCTCTTCGGTCCCTACTAGTAGTGTTGGAGAGGAAAAACAATGACACAGGAGCAGTACTACGTGGTGGGGGTTAAGGCTTACAAAGAACGTTGAGTGTTAAAGATGATGTGAAAATATGGGCGACAGCAAGGAGTGTCAATATCTGTCCCGAGAGGAATCTTTCTAGACTCTCTATTGTCTATGAATGGGCTCAGAATGGTGTCGTTCAATATTACAATGAATATCAGAGAGAATATAGTCTTGGCACCTGGCTGTCATGGTCACAAACTTAAGAAGGCCCACTCCTACAACTTTGCATCTGCCCTCTCCTCGCCCCTTGTGGTGAGCTTGGATATGCGTGCCTCATCCGAAGTTGGGGGTCGTCCATCGTACTCGTCTGGGCAACCGATGAATGCTACGGGGCGTTAAGCAATGGAGATGATACTTGAGGGAAGCAATTCTGCAGAGGCATTTCCACCCTGAGCTGGCGGTGTGAGATTACACCGGTCCGAGATGTGGGCAGTTCGAGTTGGTTTGGTGGTGTCAACTTTTTGATGATTTTTTTTTTTCTCTCGCTTGATGAGAGAGACCTTGATTGAGGACAGGATGGATGTCTGAGGACAAATAATTAGATGATTCTGGTTTCCATGGTGTTGCCAGGTGGGTGCGAGTATATTGGGTGATTTTCCTCATTCAGTAATTAAATTAATCGTAGCAATTTGGGGGCAGGTAGCCCGGATCCCTCGAAAACCTTCTCCATAGGCAAGCTCATCAGCTTGACCTTTCTGTCTACTCGAAGACTCCACCCCGCCTCTTCATTGCTTGTATGCGGAAATGTAACTTTCTCCGCAGCAGAACAGGAAACTATGCTTTAATCCTGGAAGCGTCTATGGCGACGCTGTTCAAAATCCTCAAAGTCTCTATGACATCATGTCTCGAAAGCGACCTCGATCAGTATCGCCGCCGTCGACCTCTACCATAGACGCTAGACGCTCGCAAACGGATCACCAAATCTTCCGTTCCAACGCCATCAAAGACCGCTCATCTACCTTCATTGCCCTCTTCTCGCCCTCTGCTCCTGCCCCAACCCTCCAAGCCAACCCAGACTTCGCCACAGCGACTCACCGTGTAGCTGCATGGCGCAAGCCGAGCGCGCAACGTACGCTCTTTACCGCAAAGCGCCCTCTGCTCGACACAGGCTATGACGATGATGGAGAACAGTACGCGGGGAAGAGGCTTGAGAAGGTGCTCAGCGAAACGAGCGTCGAGGGTGCTGTTGTGGTGGCCAGGTGGTATGGCGGCATCCTGCTTGGGCCGGTCCGGTTCACACATATTGAGAACTGTGCGCGCGAGGCGATCGAGAAGTGGAAAGCGAGCGGCACCGCTACCAAACCGGAACCGGATCATCCTGCAGCTCAGAAGAGGAAAATCGAGGAAGACGCGAAGAGGAAGTCTACGCTGGTGAGTGTTCTGGAGGAACGCGATCATAGCATCTCTGCACTGAGGGGCCTGCTGCGAGAGAAGACAGAAGAAGCATGCGCCATAGAGTCTGAGGAGAAGGTTCCCACCAGAAAGGATGGGAATGTGACGCCTGATAAAGCAGTCGACTACTCAGCGATGCCGCTGCAGGCTTTGGTGCGCTTGGAGAAAGCGAGAGATGCATCGATATCGTGGATCCTGAAGGAGATCGAGAAAGTTGAAGAGCGGCTGGAGGAGCAGCAGCAGCAGCAGCAGCAGCAGAAGAAGAAGCAGAAAAGAACTAGAGACTGTGGCTGACATTCCACGACTCTAACAACTCTCAATCACCCCGATTATCTAGAGGTCACGTTCTGAGACCAAGGAGCGCCGCTGATCATCTCGGTGCATCTGCCAACCCGCCTCGACAATGTTGTTGCAAGCATTCCGTGACCACCAGCTCTAGCTCTCGCTCTCCCGACCACAGGTCTCTCACCCGACTACTCCAGCTCTTCAATTCGGACGTGCACACTTCCCGCTAGTTAGGAGACGACCTATTTCCGCTCCCTGAGCTGCTATGCTCTCAAGGGGTCGAAAACGAAAATATTCGAAGCCTTCTCAGCTCCATGGAGCCGAGATTACTGCCGTCCAAACAACAGCAGCAACAGATGACTTGGTTCCCGAGCTGAAGAAAGCCCAGTGGGGGGGCTAAGTTTCGACTGACCGATGAGCGTTGGTCATTCATTCATTGCCTTGTACATTTTCGATGGTCGGTAGGTAGGTCACGAAGATGTTACGAATGGAGCATATGTTAGTAAAAGATATCTAATCGTTCGCAGGAAGACGACCACTCCTCTGACTTTCGCTGCGGCAGCGCTATCGGGACCGGGTGGACGGGACATTTACTTTGTTCCTGCTGAATGGAAACAGTGGGAAAATGGCAACTCGTATGACACGACACATGTGCATGTAGACCATACTAGTTATATTCCTTTCCCAGAAGCGATCTTGTCCTTGACGGCCTCCTTCCCGCCTCTGGTCTCCTCCTGATCTCCATTCCCCACCATCCGACCGACCAGGCTCTGGCGCGACGCCAACCTGTCCTCCTCCTCCCCATCACCAACGCCCACCCCCACTCCCACCACCTTGACCCTTGCCAACACCCCCTCCTCCACCCTCGGCCCCTTATAATTCTCCCTCCCATCCACCCACCACTGCACCAAACTGACGCCCACAATAATCGCAAAAACCACCACACAGTAATTCATATTCGACCCGTTCACCGGCAGGCCCGGCGGGAAGACGAACAGCACCGTGGTGACGAGCGTGTAGGCGATGCCCAGCAGATTCAGCAGCCAGCCCAGCGGGCCGGGGAGCCGGAAGGCGCGGCTCTCGGGCAGCATGTTCCGGCCGCGCAGGCAGTTGATGAGCGGCGGGATGGCGTAGCTGAGGCCGAGGGCGACGACGCTGGCGCTGACGATGGCGTTGAAGGCCGAGGTCGAGCCGAGGAAGATGAGTCCGAATAGGATCACGAGGGTGGTGGTGAGTAGGAGCGCGTTGAGCGGCACGTGGAGCCGCGGGTGCACGGCGGAGAGGTGGCGCGACAGCGGGAGG